GACAACGGCTGCAGTTAAGCAAAGCATTCGGAAACCAACGAATCAACGAAAAACAAGCATGAGCCCCTCCTACCGTCCAGGGGTCGCCTTGGTTGAATCGCTCACCCATTCCCATCAGTATGCACCACTTGGATCAACTTGGCTTCTTTCGGTGCCATTCCGTGCCGGCAGCATCCGGGGTGATACTAAGCATACTAAGCTCAGCAGAGTCGAGACTAGGCATCCTCCATGTCCATTCCAAGCATGCCGTCCCTTCTGGTTTGAAGAGCTACACGCACCTCCGACAAACTGCTATCAGGTAGCCCTCGTCGAAGTTTTGCACAAAGAAATAAAGTAAGTTCCCAGGTTATGTTGCTCTGGCACTGAGTGGACCTCCAAAATCCTACTCTGTAACAAGAGGTTTCAACATGTCCCACATGGAGAATCAGTCACGGCTCAGCATGGCTGAGCATGGCCTCTTGCCGAGATGCCTCTCCTACGGTGGAGTCTAGGATTGGGGTCATCAAGTGGTGAAATATATTCTACGAACTTCGTACCTCCAACATCTTTTCCAGCCCCTCCACGAAAAAGGCATCACCTAGCAGGCCGGGCCGAGCGGCAGCTATGTAAGAGCGAAGACACAGTCCAATCATCGAACCAGGCGATGAGCTGTCAATCTGCCTGCGGTGCTACCACCGGGTCACTCCAGGGGTGCTCCAAAGCACAAACTCTCCAGGGGAAAGGCGTGAGAGGAGTCAGCCATCCGCAGTCAGCCCCAGAAGTAGAGGAGTTCAAGATCACTTTTGGTTGGCCATGGTTGTGAGATGGACCAAGTGACCTTTGGTTGATTGTCGCTTCATGTGCTCAACGATTTGCAAGATTTGGCTTCAGTCATCCCAACACCTGTCCATGTGCTCAAGTGGAGTTCTGCACATCCCCTTTTCTAGTGGTTCATGTGTTGTAGAGCTTCTTTTATACCTCTAAGGCAAATCGCAGTAATGCTTTCATCGATTCAACTACTCACCTGCATCAATGTGTAACAAACAAATGTCAATATTGGTATCGCTGATATGTGTTACAGCGTGTCCGTGCTCTTCCCCCATCACAAGCCTTGCTTTTGGGGCACTGCCACCTCCACACCTACTCTCGCAGAATCTTCTTTTGCCAAGCACTTGTAGGGTGACAGCAGTGATCGCAAATGTTGAGACAAAGGGTGGACCCGTTCAGCATCCAGTGAGCCATTCTCACATCGACATCCACGCATCAGAGTTTCATCCTCCAAGTGGTGCTCGCTAAGCGACGACAATCTCTCTGCGTGGATGTGCAAGTTTGAATGCCTTCAGGGCTTTGAAACAATTTGCACCATTTGCAGTATTCCTTCTCTTCTGACTCTTCAATCTTCTCTCTTAAACCCATTTCATACAACTTTGCAATCACTCTCTTCCAATCTCCGCCCTTCTTATAGCCCTCCCATGCTTTGGAGGTGAAGCACTGCAAGCGGTCAATTTGGACACCGTTGTGCCCTTTGATCTTTGCTGCTGAGTTCACCACCTCGACACAGGCCCCGCGGTCCTCAGCAAACTTGAGAATCTCGGCACTGGTCGTCAACTCGGCTTGAGCGAAGGCTTGAAATGTAAGCCAGTCGTCTTGAACAAGTGGCTTACCCAACTCAACATCGATAAGGAAAGTTGACTTGACGGCCTCATACTTTTGAAACTCCTCGATGTCAAAAGGGATCATAATCTTCACTTGCTTGTCTCTCTGCATCTCTTCCAGGAGTATTTCGGCATCCTGAAGGGAGATGCGTTGCTCATCGGTCAATTCCAGCAAATCTGCTTGCTTCCGCAAAGCTGCTCGCAAGTCTGATTGTTCCAATCTTGAGTTGAGTCCGGACTCCTTGCACCACCACACGCCGAAGCCCACAAGCTCATCCAATGTGAGATACCTCTTTCCAGAATGCCCACGGACAAACGCTGGCGTGAGCAAATGCTGTCCCCATGTCTGGGACCGCAGGCCCACGCTGGCAGGTCGTAGAAGTCCACACCGCCACATGGCATGACACACTGATCTTGGGTTGGCTTCAGGTGCTTGAACTAGAATGAGCAAGCAGAACTGGCACTAGCGGGTGCCATCAGGTGCCATTTGATAGGTTGATATGAAATTGGTCAATGACAGGAACCCGTGGTTCCCAATCTACCCAAACTGGCTATATACTTCAACTGCTGGACAGCAAGTCTGTCAAGGTGCAGCTGCTTGCAGGCAGCGGCCTCAAGCACCCTACCCTGGTAATAAAGCTTCTGCCCTGAGAGGAGCATAGAACCCGCTAAAGTGCTCCCGACCAATCAAGGGTGGAACAAGTGGGGCATTGGAAGGGGAGTAGTTCGTGTCCTAGCATGAAAGCCAAGGAGGGCCATCCAATCATATCCAATCCATGTCCAATATCCCTGTCCAATCCGACCATGATCCACAATCTCAATCAAATTCCAACATAATTCAATAGATTTGATAACTGGCTATGATCTTGTTTACCCACTTTATTAGCAGTATTTTATACAGCTTCCATCCCATTATATAATTCAATACCTAGCCCGGCCCGCGCGTGCGCATCCATGTTCCGGCCTTGTGGCGCGCCCAACTGAAAGTGCTCCACCCTGCTGAGGTCAATGCTACCAGACACAGGATCGCCAGGGCCCAGCTGGTGCGTTCCTCACGGAGCTCTTTTGCAGTAGAGAGACGAGCAGGTGGCGCTGGTCGGATTAAGAGGACGGAAGATCTACGCGGACGTCGTCCAAAGTGCTTCAAGGAGATTGGACTCGGTGTTTGTGCTCAAGGTTCTACAGCTCATAGGCCTATATTCTGCTTGTGGGTCACCAACAGGGAGAAACGACTGGGCTGGCATGCAAAACCTGCCACTCGGAGTCAGAAGCATGCATGATTCGGTTACAGTATGTTGGCTGGTTCAGTCTTTCGTCACACCGGCGACTGGGCCCTACAGCCCCTACCGGCCCAACTGTTCTGCTTCAACACCCATTCAAAAACTCAAAAGAATGACCATGTGAGTTGAGGGTGCCCATCTTCCAAACCATCGGATGTACAGAATCAACATGTCAAATTCTGCAGGGTCAAACCCAAAAAGTGAACAAGTCAACAAAATTCGAACAATCACATTTGAGATGTTGACCTTCTAGGAACCCTAGAGATGCCAGTAACATCGGCAACAAAATCTTCTTCCAAGGGATGATGCTACTGTAGCGTGGCAATCAAATAATTCACCGCTCGCTCTCATATCCAACGCGGGCCATCGTGTCAAGGTGCCATTGCACGCTCCCGGCGTTCCACTAAGCGTTCAAGCTCATCCAGCAAGGCCATATTCCGTGGGAGCCTTGTCAAAAAGAGCCACCATGAGATCACACAGAAATATACCGACCCCTTGGTGGCAGGTCAGAAAAGAGTGTGAACAGTGGGGGGTCCTGATCTCTTCCTCATCTTGGGTTTTTCAGGGTGTAGGTCATAGCAGGTCATATGCAGGTCGCTACTTGATGCCACATTGGCTTTCTGGCCCCGCACGCGCCACCGAGCCCGCCACCACCGAGCCCGTCCAAGTGGCCCAAAAGAAATCATCAAGAATCAGGGGAAGTGAGACCATGACAGCACACACTATCACAGTATCGATTGATGTATGTGGCTTTGAGCTACCGGAAGCACTTTACACCAGGTGCACTCTTGGAAGGCACGTGATAGCTGGGGCAGAGGAAGACATCGAAGCCACCTACATCCCTAGGGCAAGGCAAACGAATCAACGAGAAGAAACTCATCCGATCTCTGCTGCGAAGCATCTCTCGATGCGGAACTCGCGCAGGCGGTGGAGCCGTTTGCTCCTCCGAAGGCGGTGGATGCAGTGGGAGCAGTGCTCGCAGTGCTGGTGGAACGGCAGTGCTGGTGCCACGATTCCAAGCCAGTGGGCTTGGCCAACACACTAAAACCATGGCGTTGCAAGCCAATGCGTTCCACTACACCAGGTCATTAAAATGTGCGGTCAAAACTGGCATGGATCTTCCCTCAACACTGACACGTTTGCCACAAAGACGGTGCCGAAACGGTCCAATTGACCCTCTCCTGGAGGACCTGGAGTTCCGGGGCCTGCAAGAATCAAGAGATGTTCACCCATAAAAAGGCACTGTTCCGTAGCTGAAGATCTTAGGAATGGATGTCATTGAAACAGTTGACATGACAACAACAAACTTTGGAGATGTACCGGGTGCTACCATTACGGTGCACAGAAAAGAAAAGAATAGTTAGTTTGAGATCATGCAAGTGGAGCATAGCACCCTGGAAATGATATCAAAGACTGAACTTGTTCCATTGTCCAAGGATAAGGACGCCCCTAACTTCTCCACCGTGGATGGCCTTGTGGGTCCATGAGTCAATGGTTCACAAAAAGGGCCGGTCAATCTTCTACCATGGCCCACAGCGTGGTACCTCACCAACAGCCAAAAGAATGTCTTGCAGTCATTGGACGGACAACTTGCCTCACGTCGTTGCATGAAAGTTGGAGCTGCAGCAGCTAACAGCAGCAGCTGGCAAAGCCAAAATACCCTCGCCATCGGAACTTTGTCGTGGGACCCGGGTAGCAAAGTCACTGGATGTTGCGCTCTCTCACCTCACTCCGAGACCTTCTTGGCAGACCAAAGACTTTGTCAAAGGCTTCGTCAAGCGGTCAGGGGAAAACTTGACCAACGACATTTGAGACTGCAATTGAGGAATGAATGCTTCTAGCTCCTAGAATTGCACAGGGATCGGAGGGTTTGAGCCAGTCCGCAGGGAAGCGGCAATGATTGATGCCCCTCTGGATATAGAGACGTCCAATCAAAACCTCCAAAATAGACACCCAGTTCACTCAACCTGAACAAAGACATGCAGATTAATCGACGTGCTTCCAAAAAGGACTCTTGGGCCTTTGAACAATGGCAATGTGAGCACCTTCTTGCTTCATAAAACCCCTTTCCATCTCAGCGTGTCACCACAATCTCTGGCGCCAAAGGTTCCGCTCCTCCTGCCGAGACTTCGTTCACTCCAAGGGCGATCCCACCGCCGGCGGGGTTCGTTCTTGGATCATTGCCCGCGAGTTTTCGAGTCTAGGAATGCTTTCAATTTGAGAGTGGTTTTGGAGTGTTCTACTTGCTTTGTGGGGGTTGAGACAAGGTATGCTGAACTCAGATCACTTAATTAGAGGAATGGTTTCCTCATTTGTCCTCGAAAAAACGCGTCATTCTAATGCAGAATATTGGAGCTCAGCACCTCCTCAAGCAGCGGCACTTGTAGGACCATGTCTTCCCACTCTGCAGGCCTCGCTTTTTTGACCAACGTCGAGTTGGTCGACGTCCGTTTGGGGCTACCAGTGACCATCAGCGACGACCCTGAGGCCTGACCGGTGTGGATTTGAGCCTCTAGTGCACTACCATCCACTACAGTAGCATCCACTAGCACAAGACTCGACAATTCAAGTCTTGACCCTGGAGCAACAACCTAACCACCGGGCTCCAGCAACACCTCCCGGAGAGGAGGGTGCTGCAGTTCGAGAACAGCAACACGACCCCAAAGCGAGCTCTCTTCATGAAAATGGATGAGCACAATGCTTCGAAACGATCCTCCAAATCAAGAAAAAACCATCCCATCAAAAACAAAATCTCCACCTTGAAACTCTGAAAGGTCGATCAAGTCGGCGGGCTTCCGGGCGACTCCGGAAGGCCCATGGCACTTTTGAAGGCTCCCAAGGAGAAGCTCACCGGATTGGAGCCTCCCCGTGCCCGCGAAGGGGAGGGATGAAAAGGGGGAAAGGAAACTGGAGATCTATCAAGTGGATTTAGGAGGTGGTTTTGTATCATATAATACAAATATATATCATAATATAATACAATATATGATACTATATGTGTGTGTGACATATTGTTCACATCGGCTGGTTTTAAACGTTGGGGAGGTCTCACTCGGCAATACAACCGTCCTGGCGGCGCGATGTAGCTGCAAAGGAATTGCTGGAAGATCACCGCCTCAGAGGTGCCGATCGTCCACCCCGCAAAGGTGCCGTTCACACCCCAATGGTCGACCTGCGGCTATATGGCTGTGGGTGACAACCAGACCTTTGTTGACCTACCGACGGAGGGTCAAGCTACATGATGGACTAGGGCTCCAGGTATTTGACCCATCCCCATATCTCATCATGGTATATCCCACCAGCATGTTGCGACTTGGTCAACCTGTCGCGGCCGTTGTCGAACAGGAAAGTGCTTCTAAAGAGACAGGATCATAGAACAGGACACGTGGAAAGGATGCTACTTGACGCGTCGACGACGTTGCGTCGTTGGATGGGTTCCTGCTGATGCCATCGCTAATTACTCCCATTCAGCTTTATTCCAGCTTTTTGAAGGATGTTCAAGAGCTGACCTTGATCTTGGTCGGAATGCGGCACAAAGCATTCCGAGATGGCAAGGATTCCGAGATGCCAGCCCGGGGTGCCCGTCAAAACCCACCTGGCCGCCACCTGCCAGCGGCCAGGGCTGCACATCGCCCCCCGCAGCCAGGGCGCCATGATCACTTCGTCGGGCGCCTGGTTGTGCAGGGCCAAGGGTTCCAGCTGCGCCTCGGCCATCGCCAGGGCCAGCCGCCAGGTGCGAATGTCAGCAGGGTGAGAAGCGAAAACACCTGTATGTATATCTATATCTATATATAGTAGGTAAGTATATACATATAAATCACATATGTATATATATATATATAAGAGCAGCCGTCCCACTTCAAACATGTAAATGGTAAATCTACGCAAACTACCCTGCCCTGCGTCTGAAAAGCTCAGTCGCGAACACATACCTCTCTTGCAGGCATGCCCTGCACGCATCGTGGGGTGTGTGGACAGGAATCTCAAGGCAGGAAGAATCTAAAAGCGATGAATAAATAAACTCTAAGATGAATTATATATAATATAGAGTTCAAAAAAGGATGGTTGGCAGGCTTTACAACAAAAGGCCTCTCTCCGGTCCTGGTCTGGTGTTATATAGGAAACCAAGTCTGCTCGTGTCTTCAGACCAGTTACAAGTGCAGTTTGCCGGCAACCATTGATGTCAGGGAGAAACACTCCAGCACTCTTTGTGGCATGATCCCAACACATGTCATTTAGATATCATTTAGATCTAATTTTAGGTATGGTACATATGGAATGGTATGGATGTAAATTAGTATCCACGGGCGGTTCCGACATGACCGCTCCTCACTGAGTCTCTTGATGAGTCTATGGCAGCACAAGCGGATCCCACTCCTGGGCGTCTCTCGACCGATCGGCCCGCTCCACCGGCGTTTCCCCCGTGTCTTCCGGCAAGACCACGACGGACATCCGCATGGATCTGAAGGATCCACGGAAGTCATCAACTCCAAAAAGGGATAAAGGCACCCCTCTATTCACTCATGGCCTCCTTTTTGGTCGGATCGCCGGGCTTGTCATGGCGTGTCTCTGACTAGGAATCTGCTTGGACCATCCGCGTTTCAACGAAGCACTGGACGCATCTTAGCCCAGCACGGTGACAAAGGAGATAGAAGAGCCTGACCAAGCATGGACCAGATTCACAAGGAATAGTAACTGGCTGTTGGTGAGCAAACAGTGCCATCAGATCCATTTACAAACCCAAAACCTGTGGGACAGTTCGCCCTGCGCCTGTTGCCACTGTCGCTTCAGATTGCCAGGCACTCTCTGAAAGGCCTGGCCATCGCCGACGCTTCAAGCACTCCAAGGGGGTCTCAACTCGGGTCAACTCACCCGGCTTCGGCTTCGGCTCTCAGACATCGGCTTCCAAGCCGAGCTGGGCCTGAGAGATCCCCTTGGCCGTTCGATTCCTTGCCGCAACAGCGGTCCCGAAACAGCCGACGAAACTCCTTGAGGCGAATCACTCCAAATCCTCCCTGGTCAAGTCACATCTTCCACGCCTTGCTTGCCTGAAGGCTGCCAAGGATGGCCAACCTGCAGGGGCATGCGGTTCGTGCGCGCGTGCGTCGTTTAGAACATGCTTCGTGGATGTTAGTCAGTGGTTTGGTGGATATGTGATATAGTACGACTACCAGGACCAAAGTGTTCAACACAATGTCTCCGCGTCCAGATCACCCCCCTCAAAAAAGATGAGAGTCGGTTTTGACCTAGCCGTCATGAGAATGGGAGTGAGCTTGCATCTGCAAACTGCCGAATTGCAAGCCCTGCCGGCCCTGCCACTCCAACCTGGTGTCATCCTCCAAGGGAAGCGCTGCTGGCGGGTGTTCTGACCTACCACGGGAGACAAAAACAAAGGGTGGCTTCAGCCAACAAGCTGCTCAGCGCTCTGGAAGACATGACACCTGATTTGGATGTGATTCTCTTCCTCAACGGAGCACCACAGACACCCCCGGGTGCCGCTCATCCACTTCGGCTTCGGCCGCGTCTCAGAGCCCAAGTTTCGTGTCCCATCTGGCCGTCTGGGGCATGGATGACTAAGTAAATCGGCCCAAGGTAAGTGAAGCCAACAACCAACAGTCTCTTGTAAGACAACCTGTTGACTTGGCACAGCCATTCGACACTGAACCTGTCATTGAGCCTGAGTCTTATTGTGCAAATTGTCTGCATGGAAAGTCCTCTCCCAAAGCGACTTGTCAGATCTTGCCAGTTGCAAGTTGCAATTCTCTCTGGGCGGAGTGTTTGGTCCATCTAGAATCTACCTGCTCTCGATCCTGCCAGGTTCCCGGGCTTTTTCCGTTTCTTCTGCGCCTGTGGTCGAAGTCGGGGGCATGAGATGAATCAAGGCTATGCAAGGAGAGGAGCATAGAGGAACTCAACAGTTCAACTCCTCAACCCAGGAGTAAGGCAGGTAGTAGGTGGCCCTTAGATGGCTACCAGCATGTTCAACCTGTGTAAAAATCAGCTCTCCATTCCACCCATGCCATTGCCAGAATCAAGTTGAATCAAGTTGCACCCTGACGCCTTCTGGCCCTGCTGAGCTGGCCGAGCACCCCCCACCTTGGTAGGCGCAACGACCACTGAGAAACTCATCACATTAAGGTTGGTTTATGTTGGTCATCTGGCCACTCGTGCATGCATAAGTTGCAAAGATGTTGGATTGTTTTGGAATGACCATGCCCACCGTAGTTACCAAAGAAGAACTCAAGGCAAATCACTTCAGAATTCAGCAACTAACTCTGGGCGATATATACATATATGTATATGTGGTGCCGTGCCCCAAAAAAAAACACCCGTTCATAAAATTCACCGGTATTTGCAGTGTTTTAGGCATATTCTTGGGCCACGACGAGCTCCACCAAGATGGAATTGGCATAGGTAGCTGCTTGGTGTGCTGGCGACTGCTTCGAGGCCTTGAAGTTCAGGCGACTGCTTCGACGCAGCCCGTTTCGATTGACCTGTTGTTTGGGTACCTGTTTGGGCTCTAAAGATTGGCTCGGGCGAGAAAAATGCAATGACTATGACCATTCTAGCCATCAACTCCAGTATCACGGCTCAAGGCTCAAGCCGATCCTGCAAGACAGAATCCTTCGGCGACATCTTGCCAATACTCAATGATGCACTGAGGGTCCAGATGGCCTATCAACAAGTTTCTTTGCATCACCACAAGCACTGCCTCTTTGTGGAATCTCATGAGAGCATATGAGGGAAAATGGAAAAGCCCAACCGGAACTAGGGAGAACTGGAGGACCCGGCTGCACACCAGAAGAGTTGCTCCCAACCTGCCGGTGTGGTGGCATTGGGCACGAATTCAACGGGAGTTGGGCCCTGAATCCAGAATCCGTATGCAATGAGGAATCGGGCCATGTATGCAAAAAACAATCTCGTTTCTTAGCAAATGGTTGCAAGGGACAAAAAAAAGGAGTGGCTTTGCCTTTATTGCAGTTTCCAGGCGCATTTGTTGAGCTGATGTAACCCCCCCCCAAAAAAAAAAGAAAACATGGAGAGATTGTTTTATTTTGCATTGTGCCATTACAATCTCATATACACCTTTTCCAACCACTCCGGAAATGGTGAAAGCACATCTTGCAACTGGGTGAGCACTTGGAGCACTGGTCTTTTCTCTCAATACACCCTTGGATGAGCCTTTGCTGAGCTTCTGGAAGAGGCCAATGAGCAATGAGTTGGCCTGCATCGTTCGTCGGAACCCATTGGAACCCTGCACCGCACTAAGAATGCTGGGCAACGATGTTCCTAATTACATTGCAACGCTGCCGAAGGTCAGCCCAGCTTCCCAAGGCCCTTCACATCTGATTCACGTCCCTTCAGGTTCCCCCTTAGGCCTCGGGAGTGGCCCTCAGCGCCCGGGCGAGCTCCGCCATGCCGCGGAGCCTCGGCACATCGAGGGGCTTCGTTTGCCGAGGTGTGGTGATTGTGTCGTCGACTCACTGGACCAAAGTGTTCTGTTTGGTTAAGTGCTGTGACCAAAAGATACCAAAAGGCTTCTAAGTCTACTCTGCCTTTGCCTGGCTCACTTAGAATCTTTTGGCGATCGCCCATGTTTCAAGAAAGCATCGGCGATCGGCGATCACAATGGTCAAAACGTCCAAATGGGTTAATACGTTGTAATACCGTACGTACGTTCTGAGTTCTGTCAGCCTTTCGCTTTTGGGGAACATATCCCACTTCTATCTCCTGAGCATCCCTACGCCTGCGCTAGAGTCGCAGGAGCTTGGTCTTCTGGAAAAAGCCCCTGCGCAGGGCAGCAACATCCATCTGAGCGGCTCCCAAGTCAAAGCAGATCATCCAGAAACCAACTTTCAAGCATTTGGGCCAAGTACAATACAGTAATGAGATGTCATACGTATTATATCCTATAATGACATATGGTATACAGACTCCTTAAATCAAATTGATCTGCACCTCTTTTCCATGACCCTCACAGCTCCTTTCAGCGCATTCCTTTTTCTGTCTCTCCTCCGAATGCGGCAGCAAGTACGTCTGCACCGAGCGTGCCGGAATCGACGCCCGGAGCGCCCGGATCGGAGCATCGGGACCATTGCGGAGCCGCAGTTGGAAGTTCACGAAGAGGTTGGCAGCGTTCAGCAGCACCAGGACGACAGCACCTGGGTGTGAGATGAAAAACGGTGTCCCCAAAAAGAGGAAGGTGCAATATAGCAATGACAATATAAGTGATAAGGATCACAATATTAGTATATAAACATAATATGTGCCCAAAAAGAATGATGCAACAGGAAAACACAAACATGCCAAACTGTGCCGCGCTCAATCCAAAGGGATCTCTTCAATGCCCAACAAGGAAGGCTCCTAGCCTAGCGATACGAATTTGACACGGGATGGGCTCAGATTATATCGTTTCCCCAGAATCAATCCGCTCGTGCGGGACACCCCAAGAGAACGGACGATTGACAATTATGATCAATTTTCATACGCCATGAGAACTTCATCCAAGGATTCCACTACTTGAAGCATTACGTTCATCAAATTCCGCGGGTGATTGCGGGAATTGCAATAGAACTAAAGATGAAAAATGGACGTTGGTTTCGACAAGTGCAGTTGTGTGGGAGCTTGAAAGTTCATGAATGTGTCCAATCTGTCCTTAGATGGGGCCTTTCAGCACCTTGGCTCAGCACCTTGCCTCACCCCGCGACCCGCCGCAGCACCTTTCAGCACCCTAACCGGGTCGCCGTCCGGGCGTCGGAAGGCGCAGCCCTGTAGGCCATCCTGCGCGGTGCAGGTGCCATAGCCGCGGGATGAGCTGGTACAGCTGGGTGTGCCCAGGACGCGGGAGCAAAGGCCTCGAGAAGTGAGGAATGTTGAGGCTATAGTAGGACGGAGGTGGACTGGGCGCCGGAAGTGCTGCGCTTGGGAACGTGTGGAAAGTGGATGGCAAGCTCATGTCGCACCACGCGACAGCACTGAAGCTACCATGGCCACTAGTGCCCCACCCCGAGGCCCCTGAAGAGTAATCATAATCGGGTGGGCAAGCCGGGATGGAGCCTTCCTCCCCACAGAACAAAAGCAATCAAGAAAATAAAGACGCCTTCATGCTCCCAACTGAACTGCCAAGCATCGTTTTGAGCCTGGAGGAATGTATTTGGAGAAATGGCCCAAGAAGAAAAATTGTGGATGCAGGTGCAGCTCCTGCACGTAAGTGCTGTGCTGGTGCCCACTCGTGGGTTGGTGGGTGAGTCTAGGATATGACATGAAAACAGCGGCACTAAATTGAACTACGTATAGTTTATATGTAATTGTTTTAATTTATGTGTATATATATATATACAGTGACAATCACCATTTGATTGACAGTTGTTGAATTCAGGGAGGGCAACCCTTGCTGGGAACACTGAGTTCGCAATAGTTGTGCACCGTCACCAGCCCCTTTTGTAGCTCTATCTCCAGGGAATTCCAGGGTCATGGCAAGCCAGCCGGTCTTCACTCTGCAAACCAGCCCAAGAAGTGCATTCCAAAAGAATGATTCTCTTTTAAGATTCGCGTCATTCAACGGAGGCCCGGCCCTTAGGTGGGTCATGGTGATTCTATCTCTTGCACACTCCAACCTTCTCCAAGCCTTCCAACCGCTCCTGGTCCGTGACGCTTGCCATCATCGGTGCATCACACACATTCCCCACGTGGTTCGGGCCCCCCGTGTCGTCCAGAAGCATGTTCCAGTCGATCCACCCCACGGCGCCCGCGTTCAGGTTGCCCATGATGTCATGAGCATAGCCTGTCGACATCTAAGGGCTGAACACAGCCACAGCAGTGGGTTAAGGTAGGATATGGTGGTATAGGACCATAGGATCTACCTCCGGGTACGGTGCAACATTGGAAGTTAGATGAAGTTTGGTAGGCGTACCTGGCCCGTCTGGACGATGCGCACGCCTGACCACGTATGACCACGTGAGGTCTCGGGAAATCAACACCCCAAAATTTACATAACGGGCACTCCTGGCAGTGCAGCCCGCTCTCAAAATTTAAGTCGCAAGCAACGAAATCGTCGGAAATGTCGGACACCTCTCCCAATGAAAGTTTACAAACCCAAAAGCTGCAACACGCATAGAGTTGCACGAAGTAAGAGCGAAGATACCAGCCAGAAACACTCTCAGCCATTCACACACGAAACTCACGACATCAAGCCAAAGCTCAGCTGCATGCCGTTTCATTTATGCAAATTTTGGTGCATTTGGCAAGGATCATTGGCGCGCTGCAAAGATGCAAAATGCTTCGAGAAACAAAGCTTTTCAATGTGCATGCTTCGAGCCATTGCTTGTTGCTCGGCTAGTGAATTCTGAAGCAAACACTCTGGGCAAATGTCCACAACCATTGTTGATGACACACCTCTATACAATTAGCAATATTGCATCCAGAACCGGGGGTGTTATAGTATGTAGTACGTGTGTAATTATAGTTAATTATGCACCTTCACCATACAGTACAACATGACCTGGAGTCAATCGCCATCTTCTGACACATTCAACCGAAAACTTGGCCAATCATGCTTGCCCCAAGCACTACCTCTGCTGCGAAAAAGGAGCTGAGCCACTACACCACAATCATTTTGGCTGCACACCATGTGGATCAAATCCATGGCACAGCTGCGCATGAAGCCGACCATACTGCTCGCGCACCTCTTCTTCAGTGATGACGTGCCAAAGTCGATGCAAGCTGCGAAAACTGTTCCCAGCCTTCAACATGAGGGTGTGCTCTTGCAGGAAAAGTGCTTCAGGTTCAGTAATCTCTTCTGGCCATTGGAGCAGGAGTCGCAATTCAGCTGCTCTTGGAAATCGTTCTTGCATCATCGCGTGTGCATTGGCAATGCTAGGAAGTGGGACAGGTGCTTTGCACGCATGCAAAAGGTATCTGCTCAAGTCCAAGCCCTCATGCCGCACCCTCAAGCAAGGGAAGTTCCGAAAAGCCTTCAGGCGGAAGTCTAGAAAAAGAGCATCCATTCGAGTGGAGTCAATGTTCGATAGGTACAGGTGTGATGCTCCGGAAAACCAACCCATTGAGAGGCGACGGGCCAACTCGTCGATGGGGTCCAGAATCATGCTTGACATGGCAGAGCAACGGTGAAAGCGTGGCATTCCACTGCTCTCACCTGGAGGATGGTCTGGCTCCATCATTTCTACTCGAACTTCAGTCACTTCGGCCCACGCTGGGCAAGCTGGCGAGGGATAGAAGCGAGGCTCCAAAGAGCCACGTGGGTCCACCCTCCTGAGGCAGCGAAGAATGTAGGAACAGTCGGTGGCATCGAGGACCAATGGCTCCCACGCACTCACAAGCTCTTTCAGTTGCCTGGCCTGACGATTGCTTGCTTGAAAGAGCAACTTTTCACGTAGCTTCAGAAAGGATGAGACTTGAGTTGTCAACACCAAAGGTAAAGGATACAGCAAGCTTTCTGCTTCAGTTGCTTCCATCTTTGCCGCTTTCGCTGGGACTTCCGAACACTCTTCAAATGCTGACCAGAGTGAACGAGGGGTCACACATGGTCTCCGTCGACCTTTCACTTTGGTCAAGCCAGAGGCATTCCGCTTCTGGGGGGCCCGCGGGCGTCAGTGCCACGCAGCTTCGCACCACCAAATCCGCAAAGGCCTCATCTTCAGCTGCTTTGTCTCTCAGGGCCTCTGCCAAGACCTCTGCCACACGGGGCGATTGCCGAAGCAGGACTACCAGGAATTGGGGATCGTTCAAGTGAGCATCGATGAGCTGCTGCGCTCGATCTCGTCTTCGGGGTCTCGCTCTTGTCCTGATTGGAACTGGGCTGGGAGGCAAAGCTTTGGGAATCTCCCATGGTCTCATGGCAGCTCGAAAGGTGGTGCCCGGCAGTGTGCCTGATCTGCGTGGAGCCGAAAAGAATCTCACAGAAACGTCTAGTTGTTTAACACCCAGACACACATACACTGGCATATAACTATACTGTATATATACACTATATAACGTATATAAACAGTATTCATTTATATACATGTCCAACTTAAAGCTCTTCTCAGGGAAACACAGATCCACTGGTAAACTTTATCCACTCATATCCACTCATATTATTTGGCTTCTTCCACTGGCCTAGTGACTAGTGACAAGTGGCTTTGTCCTAATTAATCCACCCCTTTAAAGGCCGAATGCTCCAAGCTGGTCAACAAATACAGGCGCACTTTGCTTCCACAAAAGGATTTACATTACTGAGTGTTCTTGCCCTGAGGGGGCTGCCTCGTAGCCTTTTCGTGGGAATCCACTACTCACGAATTTAATGTCTATCTAATCTAACCCAATCTCACGGATGAACATCCCTTGGAAGGCAAACCACTCCAAACAAACCACCCCAAAAACTCTCCGTTTTGCTGCCCGGTCTTCCATTCCGGTCTTCACCGAGGAACTCACCACCGACCCACCCGAAAAAAAGACCGCACCTTCCCCGAAGCTCCAATCGCCCTCAGAAATCTGCGTGCCGGGCCGCCAGCGATGCCGCTCCTGAAAGGTCGATTGGAGGAAAAAGCTTGGGAGCCAGGGGAGGCGAGGAAAACACCTCCAGACGAGCTTCTTCTTTGGGGCAACCACGGCGTTTTGGAGAGGTCTAACTGGAAAAATCCCTAGATTCCATGTCCATCTTCGAATTCCAGGGATGCTCAGCTCTATCGGAAGACACGCACTCCCGCGCACCGAGCTGACGGATCGTAGCTCTCGTCGTGAACCGAACCAAGCTGAAAGGTCGGTCGCTGTGGGGAGCGAGCCGAACGGTCGCTTCACCACCTCTGGGCCGAACCAGGGCGGACGAAGGACTTACACCGAAGGAGGGTGATCCAAACCATCTTCTTCCACCCAAGATCCGTTTCCAAAAAGGGGAGGACAGGTAGGATCTGCAAAGGCAAGCTGCAACAAACCATCTCTTCCAAAATATCCCCAATGTGGAAGACTTGCTAGTGAAATGGTACATTTCTCCCACCCTGCTTACCACACCATGCTGGGCCAAGCTGCATAGCAAGCCTCGGTGGACAGTAGAATGGCCTCCGGGAATTCCTCGTGGGTCTTCCGAAGCTTCTCGAAGTGGTCGCCCGCATACCAGTGAAAGGCCACCCCACGTATGAAGGGTCGCGCTTGTGGGTGACTCAAAGATTCACGGGCCCATTCCTGAGAAGAAAGAGGACTTGGATGTTTGAAGTAGACAACCAACCCCAAAAGAACATGGCGGGCCGTCATCAAACGTACCTCCAATGTTCGCAAAAAGCAGAGTTTTAGACTGTTGCACTTTTCCTGGACAATAGATGTGCGCATGGCACACCTGGTCATGCCACATCTATGTTCCGGTTCTTTATACGCAATCAAAGTCACTTCACAGCTGCGGCAGCAACAGAATCAGAAATCAACCCAAATGAGTGACGAACGATGTTTGGCTTCTGCTGACACTGCTATGCACTGCTCGACTAGATGCGCAGTTCTCTGCACTATCCCAGCTTTTGTCCAAGCTGTTACAAGTTTGATTCTCGCACGGTTCCTTTTCGCAGCAGCGAATCGACTCAAGGCGCCTGTTCAGCCAAATAGCAGCGATGGTGCATCAACTGTACGCAATACACCCTGGCTACAATCGGTGAAATTCACACCGGATGAGTTTCTGCGTCTCAGGGGTGCAGCGCTCATACTGCAACGTCCTTGACACCTTGCCAGCTTGCGTCTCGCTGTCCTCTCCGAAGCGCTGAGCAACGAATGCTCGGAACTCTGCAGTGTCATTTCCAGCGTCGTCGAAGGTGGCCATGGCGACTAACGGGCGTCTTACCCGCGAGAAAACGGTGAAACCTGTCCACGCGCGAGAGTCAACGTTATCCATGCCCGGCATGGACTCGCTGGTCGCTCGACTGCCGTCTTCATAGACTTTCCTGGTCACGCGTCTTCCTCCGAATCCTTCCGGAACATCTCCGTCATACAGCGGATGGAAGTCATGGAATCTCCTCTTGTTGTGAACACGAATTGCATGACTCTCAGAGATTCTCCAATGGTCTTCATTGTCAACCATTGCAAGCATGACCTCATCGTCACCGACAATGCCTCCGGGGGTCATCGGAACTGCACTTGCGCTTGCACTTGCGCTTGCGGATGATCGGGCAGCCTTGCCCGTCTTATCTTCTGCTTGTGCTTCTCTCTTGTGTCCCTTCTTAGGGCTTGCCTCTTCGTCCATCATTGGGATATACTTCTGCTGTCCCAATGTCACTGCTTCTGGGAAAACCGGGATGTTGTTCAAAATGGAGTAGGCCAAAGATTCACTCTCATTGGCTGATCTGAGTTTTCCAGCAGCACACAAAACAGGAACACCTTCATGTAGCAACCAGATGCCATTATGCGGGTCAACGCCAATCACACGCGAAGCAGTGGACCACACGGTTCCACCTTGCTGGGTGTCACGACGGTAGACCACGAGGTCTCCAACCACAAATGACTTCTTGTTCTGGACTGCTGCATTCCTGGTCAATGCTCTTGCAACACGGGAACTTGTGTCCAAATGGATGAATGCCTTTTGTGCAGCCATGCGGGATGCATGACACAAATGATACCTTGCTGCAGGATCAAGCTTGTTATCCATGTCTGTCACAAATCCTGGAACTCTTGGGTTCCTTCCCAGGACCCATTGCGCTGGAGAATAGCCTTGGACTCTCTGCATGTGGTTCTTCACGGAAGTGCATTCATGCAAGCATGTCTCAAATGCATCACGGCCTACGGCTTCCATGTCATGGATGGTCTTCCTGAGAATTGCCTTCAAGATACCTTGGTGCCTTTCAACCTTGCCAATGGCTGACGGTGTCTCCAATGGTGCATAGAAGATCTCGACACCGTGCGAAGCGAACAGCTTGGACACCTCACCTCTCTATCCATGATTGCAGCCTTTGGAAAACCTGCCCAACTGATCCATCTACGAAGAATGGCTTGTGCACAGGCCTCTGACGTTGGCATACCTCCACCTTCTTTGACAACCTCTGACAAATGGAACCCTGTCGAAATATCCAGCATTGTGAGAATGCTGTACTTGTTTCCTGCATAGTCCTTCATTTCTGTGACGTCAAGGCCAAGCATGGCATTGAACTCATACTGGAAATTACTGTTTCCTACCGGATGGTCACGGGGACGTGGTGCAGTGTCTTCGCATGACTGACAACGGACAAGACGCGCCGCTTCTATCAACTCCTTGCTTGCCTTACCTGCCTTTAAAATGTTCTTCAAAGTTGACGGTGCAGGATGTCCGAACTGCCGATGCAAGCGACGGATTGCAACGCGGGTCCTCTGGGGGGAGAGCACGCCACAACTGCCTTCGTTTCTGTTCCGTCATGTCGGCTCCGGGCAATGCAAGTTGATCTAACATGAGTTCTTCCTGTTCTCTTGCGGACAACGGTTTCCCATCGTCTTGCTTGACCTCCTGGGGAACTCCTTCAATATCAATGTCGTCAATTTCAGAGATGTCTTCAAGTTCGTCTGCAACAAAACATGTCCGTGCAAAATGCTCCAAATAAGTTTCTTCCGACAAGGTATTCAACATCTCTAGGAGTCTTGCTGATTTCGCGTCTTCAAAACACTTTCGAGTCATGTTCTCTCCGCACCAACCTTCCAGCGCCTCCAAGAGCTTGGGGCTCTGCGGGCCTGCCAGAGCAAACTCTAGGTCACCACCAAGACAAATGGAATGTTCAACTGATATCACGAGGAGTGGTGTGAAGAGTAGAAGGTTGCATCCATACATGTCAACTTCCATGAGCATGTCATGCCAAATCCTCCTAGGGTCCATGTTCTCCAAAAACAAAACTACCAAACCAGGGATCCTGTTCGAGATGTGCTTGATGACCTCTTTGCGGGTCTTTCCCCAACTTCGTCCTACATCGAATACCTTTGCACTCTGGGGTGCATTTGTCAGCAAGTCATCCTTGACAATGACCATGTGTTGCACACTCAACGGATTGTTCGAGACGAGTGCATGCAAGACCGAATCGTTCTCTTGCAAAGTCTGCAGGCCAGTGACGAACGCTTGTTTTTCTCCCTTGTTCATAGTCCGATGGTCCAGAGCTACGAAAGCGTGACCTTCGCTATCGGAACTCAGCTCGATCTCTCCCTGAGAGCGGCTCAGGATGAACTTGTCTCGGTCGAGCACCTCACGTGAACAGGTCGGACGATCCGGAGTGCTTTGTGTGCTCATGTTAATTAGATCATCGTCTGACAACTCCTCCTTGGGTGCGTTCGACGGGTCAATTGCTGTGCAACCAAGAAACGGTTCGACAAGCTCTGCATCACGTGGCTCTTCCATGCTTTCCTCCTTGGGGATCTCGGTTGCTGGCTCTACGGGCTCTGCCATGCTCGTTGATTCTGCCTTGATACGTTTTGCTGGTCCTCCGCCTGAATCACCGCCATCGCTTCCTCCGTCACCAGGCGGGTCCTGGCCGTCCTGATCATCGTCATCGTTCTGTCCGTCACCTCCTGGGGCTTCCTCTTCTTCGACTTCTTCCAATTCCACGGGCTTGGTAAATGGAGGTGAGAAGATCAAGATCCTTCCTCTGGAATACCAGTCAAGCTCAAGTGGCTGATTCTCCAAACTGGCCCTCAGCAAAGTCATCTCCCATTGACCCTCGATGTGCTCGAAGCTGGTTACCTGCCAACCATCTTCTTTCATGTAGTCGGTGTAATACGCTCTCCCAGGCTTGGAGCTGTGCTTCCCGTCCCGTGATCATAGCTCTCGTGCTGAAGGACGATCTTCACATTGAGCTCGTGGTTGGACATGGCAATCTCTTTGGACGTAAGAGATGTGGATCCGGGGAAAAAGGGCCCCACCCAGCGAAGCGCTGAGCGAGATGCCTTCATCCCGATGTCTGGCACCGAATCCCAAATTCGGTCAAGCAGTTCAAGCGGCATGTGCTCGAGGTTCACTCGGCGATTCCACGGTCCATCGCCTTCCACCGTGGGGAATTCGAGATGCGATGGCCATGCAGCCGTGGCTCTTGGAAAATGCGATGCTCCCGGGTGCTCTGAAGAGGTTGCATATCGACGCTCCTGCCAGGTCGACCGTTCCGACTCTCGACTGGCTCCCCGGCCGGATCCATAGCGATGCCATCTGGGTGCGGTCCTTCCGGTTCCCTTGGTCGCACCTGTGGTGGCGTTGGGATGCGACCAAAGGATGGCGATCTCCTCCTCGATGAGCTTCGGCTTCTTCCACGACGATACTCTCTGCTGTCATCACGCCTTCTTCGAAGATGGCGCTCCCTGCTGTCCGATCGTCCTCGCCAATATCGGTCTCTTGACCTTGATCTCCTTCTCTCACGCTCTTGCATCTGCTTCACTTGCTGTGTCAACAATTCAACGGTCTGCAACAAGGCCTGTGTTGCAGCATCAGGCTGACTCGTAGGCACTGATTCACTCCTTGGCTCTGCTGGCTTCGAGGTCTCGGCCTTTTCACGACGACGAATTTCAGCATCTTCATTGTAGCGGTTCTCATCTGCATCTCGTGCTGGTGCCTCGGGCGCCGATGCCTTTGGCGTTGAAGCTGCAACAGGTGGAGCTGGTGATGCTGACCTCACTGATCCTGGTCCTCTGTGGGACACGGTGGCTGATCCTTTTGGCATAGGCGCTGATGCTTGTGCTGGGCTTGCCTTCACTACTGCAGGGCGTATGATGGGAGGCTTCTTTGGGCACGGTGGTGGTGGCAACACGCGAGTGTCAACGGGGGCTTGAGTCCTCCTCTCAGTCTCGTCCTCGGCCTCGATCTCAGAGTCAAACACAACTTGACGCACCTGGTTATACGACGGTGCGGTCTTCTGGGCGAACTGCTTCAAGACATAGTCCCTTGACCTCAGGGCTGCTTCCAAAGCATCGCGTGACTCATGCTTGCACATCACGCATTTGCCCTTGCAAGATCCACTCATCTGGCTCCATGACTCTGCCTGATTGGAGTGGGTCAAAGTCAAGTGGCATCCGGAGCAAAGCTTCTGGAATGCGGTTGCGACCAACCAACCAAAGGATACCGATCTATGTCGGTTTCGCCTGCAATAGGCCACAACTGCCAACTGCTGCCCCTTTTCGTGGCTCTCCTTGAGGTGATGGAGCACGTAGTGTAATGCTTCCATCGTCTTTTCACTTCCAACCATGCCACGAATGATCTCCGGGTGGCTGCCTATGTGGGCCCGCAGCTGCGGGTTATGCTGGGGATCCCCAAATCCCATGCAATCTACCACAAGTAGCCGCCTGCCAGGATCAAATTTCGACAATATGGGCCCAAGGGTCACCATATTCTTGCACCTGTCGAAACTGGCAATCTGCCCATGGAACTCTTTTCCACAGGTCCAAATATGCACGCAAGAAGCATCATCAAGCGTGAAAGTGCCTCTTGCCGGGCGTTCCTCGTCTGCCATGAACGCTGTGAGCTGATCGGTGGGGCGAATGTTGAAGTTCATACCAAACTCTGTGTTCTTGAGTTCACGGAGTTGCTTGGGGAGTCTTTTGGACTTCAAACTCTTGAGACCTTCTGAGAGGTTCACGCGTAGGAGTCCTGAGTTCCTAGCCCTACACAGTTCAAGCTCTTCGTTGCCTACATAGCACTTGGCATCTCCCATGGATTTCGTCAAATGCAATGCAGCTTGAGCATGCTGTGACAAAAGCAATGGAATCCTTCCATCGACAACGTGCGTTTCCATGACTCCCGGAAGTTTCGTCTCGGGGTCCAAAAAGGTCAATGCGAACGGAATCCGACACTTGCCCAAAGTTTTGGTGTCACCGGCGAGTCCTCAAAATGCTTTTGAGTCACTCTGCAAGTCCGCTACATCATACCCAAGACGTGCATACTTGTCTTTGGCGTTTTGGATCCATGCTTGTCCACAAACAGTTGCATTACATCCTTCGTCCAACACAGCCCAGACTCCAGGGTCTTCCATGATGTCAACAAGACGAAGTGTGTTTTCGATCGTGGCTTCGTTGAGATCCGACAAAAGTCCCATGAAGCAAGTCTGCGGACTGGCCTCTCTGACGCACTCCACGGCATTGGCAAGGATCTCAAACAGGACGCCAATCCTCACGGGCTCTCCTAACTCCAGTTCACTCTCAACATCCTGTCTGAACATTTCCATGATCTCTAGTGTTCCTTCGGGTGTCATGCAGGAATTGTTGATCTCATGTTCAATCACTGATGCAGTCGTGTCGAATGCATTGGAACGCATGCTTGCTACGCTCTTTGCCATTGCCTCTCTCTTGCGCGCCTCTTCTCGGGGCATCTCGTCGACAATGGTTCCACACAACTTGCAGTACAAACGAGATGTGGTCTTTGAGCTGCCTCGCCGATCCGTGACTTCATGTTTGCACCGTGTGGGATCGGTGACGGGCTTGCTCTCTTTCTTCTTCTTCTCACTCTTTCCACAGTCAAGGCATGTCTTGTTTTCAACATAGGCATTTGAACCTTGAAACGTGAATCTGGTGCAACGGCGGCAGGGTACCTCCAGTGGGGGATTTGGTGGTTTCCCTTTTGCACTCTTGTCTCCGGCACGTCGGACTGCCTCCTCGGGCATGTCTGTCAAGGGATGCTCTCTCAAGGTCACGTCTCCACTCGGACTGACTTCGTAGTATGTGGTCACCCATGTCAGAAAATCTGCCAAGCAACGCGAAGGGTGCGAAATGCCTGATCCCCATTGGTAGTATCCAGGGTACTTGAACAACACTTCATGGTATGTCAAACCTTGGTGCTGACCAAACACAAAGACACTCTGTGAATCTTCAGGCAAGAGGTCTTGCTCCATGTCTCTATTCCTACGCATGGACGGCGGGGACCTTTGCGGCGACCGACGGACATTTGGCTCAACCATCGAAAAGCTAGATGGCTGACTGCTAGTCACTCCTGACGACATGGATGCACGATCTGACGGTTCAAACTCCAGCTTCTTTGGGAACATCTTGTATGCCATGTAGCACGTGCCGCTATCAGCGGTCTGGCCACTGACATCAACACACATGTACTCATCTTCAACAGAAGACTCATCATCACTTAATGCGAAGTAGGCTGTGGCTTTGCTCGTTGACGACGTTCCTCCGGGGGACTTGTCGTTCTGCTTGGGGAACTTGCAGGCAGGGTCTCCTGCCCAATGACCTTTTCCACCACAACGCAAGCATTTGGACACTGCCTTCAACTTTGCTAGACGTGCGATTCTGTCTTGCACGCTCAACTGTGTCCTGAACACATACTTGCTTTTTCCTTTGCCTTTACCACCTTTCTTTCCTGATCCTTTGCCTTTGCCTTTGCTCTTGCCTTTCAACTGGTCAGTCACGACAAAGGCCATCATCTGGTGCTGAGCTGCACTGCCCAGTTCTTCTGAGACATCATTCTCTTCATCATCACATTCTCCCGTTGCCATCAACGCTGTGGCAACTTCAGGGTCCTCGACATAGTCTTCATGTTCTTCGTCTTCTGGTTCTTCATCTTCTGCTGCGACATAAGCTTCATGCTCATAGTCGTCCTCTGCTTCTGGTTCATAGGACTCTTCATAATCCCATGAGTCGTCTTCAGCGATGTACGCGGATCTCTGCCAACCGCGTCCTTTTCCTCCTTTGTAGGAAGACTTGCTTGAGAACTTGCCTCCGCCTTTCTGCCTCCGGCGGCTTGCATTGCCAAAAGCGGACCAGCTGCGCAAGTGAATCTGTCCATGGAATTCAAGCAAGAATTTGGCGTAGACATCAAAAGTTTGGTTGTCGCCTGCAGCTGTCTTGATCATGAGCTGTTCTGTCTTGCTCAAACCAGAGCCTTCCAGAAGTAGCTCACCACGCATGGGGTCTGAGAGACTTCCCCCATCATCCATCTCCAAAAGCTTCCTCCACCAACGACGTCTTCGTGAGATATAGCTAGTCATGCTTTCTGTCGATTGGCGAGACAAGGGACCATGTGGGAGTTGACCCACTCTGAACAACTCACGTGCTTCTTGTTGTCGAAGTGGAAAAACTTGTGCACGGATACGCGAAATCAACTCATCGATGCCAGTTGGAGTCAACAGCTTCTCCAATCCCATGTCTTGAGCTGCAAGGTATGCGTCACCTCGCAGGCCTTCCAACACTTTGTGAACAAGTGTTGCATACTCTGCTCCATCATCGTCCAGTCCGGCAGTGCTCAGAGCTGGTTCTTCCTCGTCTTCTACGATCACAGTCTTCGGGGTTCCAAAGGCTTCAAATCGTACGTCCTCATCTTCTGATACATCCTCAGCCTCGGTCGCATGAGTCGGCCTCCTCTGAGAACGTTCTGGTGTGGCTGATTGGCTTCCATAGCTCGAATAGGTCTTCTCTGACTTCTTCTTCGCATGTTTCTGCTTGTACAAAGCAACGCGGACCTTGGTGCGAAATTCCCATTCGAAGAAACCATTTGGATTGCCACTGTAGATATATGATCCGCTCTTCGTCTCCTGCGGTCCTGAGATACTTCCTCCATGGGATGTGTACCGCAGGCCAGCCAGCGACATCGCAACTCAACAAAGTTCCGCAAAGCACTGGAATTACAACGGTTCAACGGGTTCAACGGGTTCAACGGGTTGCGCGCAGGGTCACGCAATTGGGTTCAACGGTTGGATCCAGCGAGTCTCCCCGGGTGAGTCAGATCCTGAGGGTGCCCCTTCAGAACCTGCTCCGCTACCAGTTTGATTCTCGCACGGTTCCTTTTCGCAGCAGCGAATCGACTCAAGGCGCCTGTTCAGCCAAATAGCAGCGATGGTGCATCAACTGTACGCAATACACCCTGGCTACAATCGGTGAAATTCACACAAGTATGAGGCGCCTGTTTATGATGCACATTGAGTATATTAATTGAAAGTTCAATGACTTTTTTACCAAACACTACCACACCATTTGGCAAGTCTGGGCACCAATTACATGAATTCCGGACATTCGGATTCCGGCTTGGACCGGATGCCCCAAAGAAGAGAGTCAGTCTTCGTCTTCAGAATAACCTGAAATCCAAATTCAAAGCTTCGTAGATGTGATCCTTGTTGTGGTCATACACAAAGATGCCCACATCCGGATGCATCGCTCCTGGAGACGTGCGAGCGAAAGCGCGCTCGCTCTCAGCGCGCCATGTCTAAGGGGCCTATTGAATAGCCGGCATACATGGGAGACCTCGACCGCTCATCCCATGTCTCATCTGACATCAATAGATTTGTCTCAAAACTAGGGCAATCCTGAAGTCCCACAGATCTCTGTCGTGCCAGAATTGTTCTAACCTCGAAAAGATTGCTTTCGGATCCCTTTGGGAGCACGCACCAGCCTCAAGAAAATGCATCTTGTTCTACTTAGTAAGTGGGTCAGCAAAACAGGATGTATATAAATAAAAATGTATGCAGTATATTGAATATATTGACAACAGCACTAACATACTATAGATACCATATAACCGTACTACAAAAAAAGAAACGAAGCATCTCCCGACATCGCCAGGTCCAAGTTGCGCAGGGTCGGACCCAAGTGCTTCGCCACAAAGTCTGCCTCCTCCTGGGCTGTGTAGCAGCAGGCCTCCCAAGGGGCATTGTGTTCCGGTTCGTTTTGCACGGTCACCGCCCAGATCTTCACGTGTTGCCGGCGGTAGGCCGTGATCCACTTGGCAATGTATCCTGGGGACCGGCGTGAACTGCCCACGTGGCTGGAAAGTCGATGACCAAATCGGCAATTGCTCTCAAGAATCCACACACTGTGAGTTCTACGACGTCCCATTGACCTACAAGTAACTATGATTCATGCATGACTCATGCCATCACAAAGCCGGGCTGTCCGGCCACCTCTTCGCAGCAAAGTAGCCCTTGCAAGCCTTACACGCCTTTCACCATGTCTTAAAACATTTCCGCGGGAATTGGTCACTTTCAAAGAGCTTCCCTTCTTGAATCCCTAATCCTCTTCCACCCCCTCCTCTACCAAGTCTCCAGCCCAGACCTCCTGGCACTCAGCTCTCAGCCCGGGCTTCTCTGAGCCGTTCATCTTCTTCCCGCTCTTCATCCACGCCGGAGGACTCCAAGGACTCGCCACCAGCCGCAGCTCCCGAGCGCCTGCGCCCCCCGCGGTGTCCACCCGCGCGGTCGCGTCGCGGATCAAGGGGATCAGCGCCTTGCCGTCGCGGGTGGCCTGGCTGCTCTGGCTGCTCTGGCGCTGTGGCGAGGTCCAGGGAGGCTGGGAGTTGGGAAGATTTAGTGTTGATGATAGGAAAAGACTTGCTGTAAATGGTGGCTTCAAGTTCCAAGCCAAGGATGTTACCTTGTTGGAGACGCTGATTTGAAAAGATCACCTGCCAGCCTGACAGCCTGCCAACCTGCAGCCCTAATCTCATGCAATCCCATGTCTATAGTCCTTTTTCTTGCATACTTCCCCCAGAACAATATATAATGCTTTCGGAAAGGGCCACATGGAACACGGTAGGTGAGACAGGTGTGACATATGGTTTGATCCTGTGCTGGGGGGGGTCCTGCTGAACGGAGCCATCAGGCAAGTCTGGACTCGCTTTGCCAGAGGACACTAAAACAGCTGAACCCTTTTTGACAAGGAAATTGGATACGTTCCCATGACCAGCCATGGCCTGGAGGTCGAAGTGTTCCAGGTCGAAATCGTCCTGAAAACGCCGGGTTGAGGTGTCGCGATCATCTGTGTTGCTACGAACTGTGGCCGTCACATGAGAGAAATCCCTGGACCAATAACCCTTGAAACATGAGGTGTGGATACAGTACCTAGAAGGCAAGAGTCCTCTCTTTGTCCCCAACATGTGAGGCCTCACACAAGCAAAGCGTTACGATTGGCACCGTGCTCGGCCGCATCCTCCACGGGGTCAAAGCAATAGTTCCCCAAGGAAAAATCACAGCTGTTGATATGTACCTCAGCCATGCGGTGCCAAACTCGTCTGTTGGGTGAACAGCATGAACAGCAAATGAGCAAAAGGGATTCTTCTTGGAAGACGAAACACCATGCCAAAGAAGAATGTCTTCTCGCACCAAAGAGGAAGATCTGTGACTGCCGAGGGGAACATCAAAGGCAGAATCGCCAAGGCACACGGCCCAGGGTGAAGCCAATGCCGTCCTCTCCGAAGTAGAGGTCCTGACAGGGAAGGTGGACTGCCTCAAATGGGCAATCCCCGTATGGAGCTTCTGATGTTTAGTGAGCTTGTGCTATTGGCCAGGGTGTAAGCCAGCACACATGTCCCAGAAATATATACAGCCTGCATGTGGGGTCATCTCCTATGCTCCAACATTCCGATACATTCGCATCATATCCCAACTACAGCCTAAAGTCCTATAGCCGAAGCCCCCAAGCGCCGGTCACGTTCACCACAGTGCAAGCGTGTCTCCGCCCGTCCACCCACGAAAGAACCACGTGGTCGTGTCCAGCAGCTCGTGCTGCAGGTAAGGCGCCAGGCCCTGGAAGACCAAGGCGCTGGCTTCGGTGAAAGCAGCGCCGAATCCCAGGATCTCCTGGCAATAAGCGGCTTGGGACCGAAAAAAGCGGGAGAGGAGCGCAAGGAGCGGTTTGGGCCGTGGAAGAGTGTGGAGATGAGTGTGGAAGATGTGTTTTTTTCGTGGGAGAGTTGTGGATGGATCTATGATTAATATTTATCTTTGATGATGATCCATGTCTATGCCCATATCACTGTCTCCACCACGTTCTATCTCTATCTTGTGCTGGGTAGCAGAACATGAAGATGGAAATTCATGAGCACTACCATTCCTCAGCTCGGGGCCAATGCTTTGGGCTTTTAGCCGGAACACTACAAGCAACCATTCGATGCAGGAAGCATGGATGAGATTTAGCATGATTGCTTTCTTTGCAGCACAGCACCGAAGCACGAAGTGTTCTGCAGTATGAGAACCAAAGAATCAAAGAGATTGTTCAGCAAGAGGGTACTACCGGGTGAACAGAACTACCGCATAATACTCGTAGCAAGCGCACCGGACGCAGCTTCGCAAAGTGTGCTCAGGAGGCCCTTGCACAGTCTATGTTGCGTCTCAGCCCTGTGCAACTCACACCCCTTCAAAGACATGCACAACTTTGGATCTTCCACAGGGCTCACATCCGAAAACGGATTCCCCGTCCGCTGCACTCGGATGGCCGACGTCATCCCCGTCCCTGGTCTCCTGCTCAGGTAGGTCCAAGTCGACCTCCATGACAGGGCCCTGGAAGCCGAAATCCGCCTGTCCCCCAGCTACGCCGAGTTCGGCACATCAGTCAAGCTCAGACAGTGTCACCAGCCCCTATCCCTAGGTTGGCACTCCCTAGTAGAATCTAGTAGTCTATTCTGCTCGTGTTTGGTCAACCGGGGTGTCCCGGTGCCATGACCCACAGCTGATCATCTTCCCGCCGCTAGCGAACCGACCAAGGTCGACCGAGCCGATCGAGTCATGGAACTCCATTCTGAGAAGAAGATTGAAAAAGGGTATTAGCCTACTGAACGAAAGGAATCTGAGAAAAAGGGTCAAAAAAACGACTGATTCATCCTGAGTCATTCATCAGCTTTCCTATAAGCTTCTTAGGTATCTATAATTATATATATATATGTTTTTTTAATTCCCGAAAATCCGATGTTCCGCTCTAGTGGACTCTCTCCCCCACACCCACTGCTGTGTCGACCGGGTGTCGATTGTTCGCTCGTCTCGACCGGTGGCCTCCACTTGGGGCGCTTCGACCGCCGTCATCCGTTCGCCAGTGTCCCAGCTGCTCTGCACCAGTTGCACCTTTGAAGCACCTGGTGAGCTTTACAGGTTAGGCAGTTAGGCATTCCTTCTGGATGTCCCAATTGAGTGCCAGAGATTTTTCGGAGCAAACTGCATCAAAGAAGTCGGTCCACCTGGTCAATGTTGACATGACATGGCCCTTCAAACAACTACCATTTTGAACCCCTTGAAGAATCGCCTCCGTAGAGAGCGAACCCCGGCCTGGCATCAAGACTCCCGGCCGCCAGCCAGACTGGAAGCTCCAGGGCATCCGCTTGGGCAAAGGTTTCCTGGCCTGACGAACGGAAGCCTGTCCAAACGATGGTGGGTTGCAATCAAAGGAAGGAGGCAACAAAAATGCTTCTTGGGTCTTGACTCGTAGCCTTCATGCCAAAAAAATGACAAAAATGGACTGCGCACGGACAGGTTCCCGGATGTCAATGTGGAAGGCATGGACGTGCCTCCAGCAATGCATGGATATCTCGCAACAGCTTGAGGATCACCTCGGCTCAGTGCGTGATTGCAAGTGAGCCCATGCAAGTAGCTTCTTGTTACTACTAGTAAGGCACTTGTTACTAGAAGCGATGCACTTGTTCCTAGTAGCAGCATGGGCCCATGCGTGTCACCTGGGTCACAGTGACCCATGCATGGGTCTCTGTGATCGACTCTGGAGACTTCCCAGGCACGGCATCCCAAGTGCAAGCCCTGGTCTGCGCCCTCATCTCGATGACACCACGCAGCGATGGCTCGAAACCATACCTGAGCATGATGGGTTCCCCAAACGACGCCCATCAGCTGGTGGAAGGCCATCGAAGCAAAATGTTTCAACCGGCCCACGAATTTGGGGACCAGGAATTCATTCCAACAGAAGTCCAAAGATGTGCACAATCCCACCTATCTTCAGCCGCTTGGCACCGCTATTGTATTACTATGCCTCTCCAAGGAACTTCTCCAAGACTTTTGCCTGCCTTTGGAGGGTAAACTCCACATGCTGACCATGAGCTGAAGGTGAGTTTCGAAGCTTCATGTACCTCACATGACAGAGTAACACAGGAAGGCTCAACGGCATTCATTGGGGCCTGTCTGCAAAGCAGGCACACAATGCTGCGGTAGTTATAAATTATGTGAGTTGTGTGCGTGATGTGTACTGAACTGTAGATGGTGAACCCCCCGGCCAATCAAGATGCTCTCACAGTTGACGATTTTGGGCAGGCCAGGCTAGGCCAATTCAATGCTAGAAAATGCTTGAAATATCATTGAGGTCACCTCAAGTCTCACACAGGCTACACATGATACAATTACAGGCTACGGCTAGGGTGGTGCAGCCAGATTCTGCCAGGGCCAGAGCTCATTTCACTTTGGTTGCTTTGTCGCTGGTGCCGCAGCATTTCCATTGCGGCTCGACTGGGCCACGGCAAAGCCAGCACTCGACTTCGTGGGGGATCCCCACATCCAAAAGAAACCCAGTTCATGAAACAGTTCATTCAGCTACTAGTACGTTTGGAGAACTTCTTGCTCGAACGGGGCATGGGTTTGTAGCATTGTAGAACTGAAAGACCTGCGCCACGGCCGTGGCGACCACCAACTTCACACCGTCCAAGTCCAACCCACCAGGCAGGCACTGAAATGTCGACAAGCAGGACAGCGGAGTCCACTGGGGCTCCTCTTCGTGCTGACAGCGCCCGTATGGTGACAACGAGAAAAAGGACTTCCCACTTGGACTGCATCCGTGCGAGCCGGCGCCCGCCGGTTGGCCCATGGTGGCGAACCCAAACGTATCTCTTTTCCAAGCCGATGTTTGGTGTGGCGTCCCAAGGAATGACGCCATTGATTCGTGCGTCCCGATACTTGGGCCGCAATCGAGCAACGCAAAACAGGCCTGGACTTCGACAGGAAGTGGAAGAAGTGATTCGTTTGCATCTGTGGATCATGTCAAATCCCACTGTGGCCTCATCGTCAAAATGGCCATGATCCCAGCATTGCATAGCAGTGTTCCATCGGCGCCGTACAAAACCCGTTCGGAGAATTCTGCTTTGATCGTCCAATCACTCTGCGGGCTGCACTCAGGTGCCAGCGCAGCGTCCGTGCACGAAGTCCTGAACCACCGGGCGGCTTCGTTGCACTGGAGCAGCTGAGCTGCAAGAAGCACAACTAAAGACACAAGTTGACCTTGGTCCTCTTGCTTGTGTGAGCCAGCTGGGCACAGCCATGCGCTGAGACAGTTCTCTTCCACCTTCTGTGGCAAACAGTTCGTCTGTCACATTCCCCACATTCCCCACCAACCAACACGAATCGAAGGCCCTCTATGGCCCGGGTGTTCTAATCCACTTGGTCCGACCGGGTGAGACCCCCCATCGGCGCACTCTCGGTGAAAGTCTGGCTCCGCGTAGGCTGCACGGAGCTCTGCCAACATGGCCGTACAGCCCTGCAGGGAGAACTGCAGCAGTGCACCGGTCGCTTGGGGCGCGCCTCAGGCGCGCGAGGCGGTCGCAAGGGACGGGTCAAGTGGATCGGGGAATGGAGCGGTTTGTGAGCCAAAAAGCGCCTTAAGAGATCTTGATGGTTGGGTTACACGGTTACACTTGGAACGTCAATCAGCTGGCGGGAGTGTCATAATGGCGCTGCTTCACTGCCAAGGGGCCAAAAAGGTCCGAAGGAACATCTGCCTGCACATCGGTGACCCAGTGCACGCTCATCAGGTCTGGGGTGACCCAGGCATCCAACACTGCGATCAAACAGGTGAGGATATGACGATGAAGTCGCTGTCTTGCGTACCCCCCAAAAAAAGAAACGCACTGAGATTGAAGAACACCAACGATGCAGCTCCCAACAAAGGGACTTATACCGCCTATACTGTTCTTTTTTTTCCATGGCAAATTGCACCGTCACCTCGGTGCGAGCACCGCACCGGCACCGAGACGGTGCGGAGGTTTCGCACAAAAAAGGAAAGCCTGTTGGGTCATTAGGGTCTCTCGAGATAAACATTGAATAAACAAATATATAATAATATATATTGGGTCATACATGGTCATACTGTAACCCAGAACCTGGGGTTCATGTTCACTGTTCATGTTGGGTCTGCTTAAGAAGCAAACATCCCCCGTTTCACCGGACTGCCCCGCCTCCTTGAGGCGTGGCTTCGCGAAGAGCGCCACCAGCTTCCGAGGGTCCCCTGACTGCTCAGGCCGAATGGTGATCTTGATCGGAAGTGTTGAGACATTAGTGGCTAGATCCTAGAGAAAGATCCGGCTAAGGCCAAAGGAGACAAAGATCCTCCGTTTTTGGCTGTGGACCATGCCCCCCTTGCTCCCCCCCTTTCCATGCCCTTTTCCTGCATTCATGTTATGTCTCCGCGGATTCTCGATGACTGTCCGCCTTTCCTGCACAGGTCGTGGACTGTCTGGCTTCACCGTCCTAGCTGGACCCGCCTGGCGCTGGGCGAAGTGGATCCGCCACGTCCGGCTCCACGATCCTCAGAGCGAATGTCTTTCGCACGTCTCATGGCAGATGCGTTAAAGGCTGCCTCTCTCCCCCAACCACCTCTCTAGCTGCAACCAGGCCAAGACTCCCAAGACCAATTTGAAGCAAACACACATAGGGAACAATAGAAATGTACCCACATAGGCCCTGAACTGGTGTGTGAGTGAAACCCCCAAACTTGCGCCACTGTAAAAAAAATGCGGCTTTGGAAGGTCCCGCTATACTGTACTTAGAATTAGTTTTGAAATAGTTTACGTAACCTTTAACTTGTGAATTGGCACAGGAAAACACAGCACAAAAGCATTCGTCGAAAAATCTGGCTACTTGTCTAGGTCTCGTTGAGATCGACGTGCACATCAGCAGCCTTTGGATTGGTGATTTCAACGCCTTCCAAGTGAGATGACGAGATGAGATGGAGTGACACCATTGACACCATGCCCTCGAGCCACAAGCGGCCTCAAATCCCCAAACCCCTGGCCACCCCATGGTTCTCGTGCGTGCCCATCGTCCACCAAGCCACGCGTTTTGGGACATCTGTTGGGCAACCTCCAACAAGGCATCGAAGGCAGCCTTGGAAGGTTTATGCAGAGAAAGGCTTCCCTCATCAGGTGATGATTGCAGACTTTAGCTACGTATGATCGGCAGAAACCTGTGCGGCCCTTCCCAAGCCCAGAAATTTCACATAGGCATCATCATGAGGGCAACCCAAATCAAAAAGCGAAACGATGCCGTCTGCAAGATCCACAAATCCGAAATGGATGCGTTGGGGGCCAGGTGAAACCTGAGGGCACATACCAGCCTGGCGGAAACCCTTGAAAAATGCCGAAACCGTGGGTGTGGGCCGAGCAGCCTGCAATCGGACTTTGCCATCTGCTGACATATCCCCTCGGCCGTTGACAGAGCGGTGATCAGAACGGCCAGGAATGTTCTGCCAAGTTCTGCCATTAAACAGGAAACTGGAGAGTGGAACCTCACACCATGACCGGCCCCCGCACTCACATCATCCATCCGAGGCATTGAAGTTGTTTTTGCCTATCTTGGCCTGAACTATAGACGCATAGTCACTGGACATGCAATTCTCGCATAGTCACTGGCTGAACTGCCCATTGACACAAACATAGTGACCTCAACATTCATATGACTAACCCATACAGCCTTACAGCCGTTCTTTTTCTCCACCCCGTCTCCACGATTCATGATTCATGGAATCATATGGAATCCAAGACGCTCCCCTTGCGGAGTTTGCAATCGGCATGCCACTCTTTGATGACATCTTGTAGGCCTTGTGCCCCCATGAGCCATGAGAGGACTTCCTCTAATCGCTCGTCTGGCTCTGGCAGGCTCCAACATACGCAGGTGGCCAAGAACATGAAGATGGCATTGATCCTGAGGCTGCTGAGGGGGTGCGAAAGCTTGGCCGGTGGAACTGCAGGTCTCTCCAGACGACCTATGTATCCATTTTGGCATGTAGCTCAGGTGACATCAAAATGCACGCGCTTCAAGACCTCCAGTCCACCACGAAGGCAGGACCAGTCCTCATGAGGACATCTACCCGCGGTGCATCAGGAAAGTTGGAGCTCTCCAACATCTTCATCATCGATCGATAAGCTTGGTTTGCCAAGGAGGCGAAGCTTTGCTTTTCACCCTCCTGCCGGCGCGCGACACGGGAGCATCATTGAGCGTTCTCGATTGAAGTGGCTACACGTGCGCCAGACGGCAGTCAAAACCTCAGGCGTGTTTGACGGCACCCCTTGAAATCCTAAAAAGGAGCCGCCCTCTCACTTCCCATCTCTCACCAAGACTCACACAATAATCACGACCCTCTTCTTCCCAGCCCTTCCCCACCCGCCCCGGTTCAGAATCTCCTTTCCCGGCACCCGCATCTGCTGCTGTGCTGCGCTGTCATCCCCAGCGTGCACGAGACGTTGCACCTCGTGCTGCCGCAGGCGCTCCTCAAGCTCCGCCTCCAGGAGCAAGGGGTCCAAGCCCTGGCGACCGAACGTCTCGGCCGTTCGTTGTTGTTTTGGTGCGACCGAGGACAGCCGAACAAGGAGCAACCGAGGACAGCCGCTGAAGTTCAGGGAGTTCAGGTTCGATCGGTGAGACAGCTGAAGTCCCGAACTCCACGGGGGTTTGGGTGGATCTTTTGGAGCTGAAGCTTGAAGCTAAGAAGCAGTGAAGCAGTGAATCCGTTGGGCGCCCGAGAGCGTTCAGTGGTGATACAACGTGATGAGAGGTAACCGAAGACTGCAAGCCCCCGGGTCTTCGATTGTTTTCGAGACTTTGGCCACATTCTGGTTCGTATCCATGTGGTGGGGTGCACCAGGGCCTCCAGTAAAAAATCCACTCATGGCCCAAAACTCATCAGTTGACTCATCGTTGGCTCGCCGATACCGAAAGACAAGGCCTCCGGTAGCTCGGGCAGTGCCATGTTCCCATGGCACGAGGCCCCGGAATGGCTGTCCAGGTCGGGAGAGGGAGAGGGAAGGACCACTCAAAGTAGGAAGCCTGAGGAAAGAGAATGCTGTGAATGCCCCATGCTGCCTGGGGGGTCCCAACGTTGGGACAAACACAAACCAAACTGTGGCAACCAAAAACGTGTTAATTATGTACGGTAGGTCACTGAAAGAACACGTAAGAACACCCTCTTAATGTCCCTCCACGAGGTGGTGCTGCAGGGGTGACTGATTTGGAGAAGGTTGAGTTATCATCGGTCAGGTCTGCCGAGATCCAATGCCCGACTGTTCAATCGGCCTTGGAATCGATCTACGGGGTTGCTTGAGTTCCTGAAGTTCACACAGAGACGCCGATATACGTGCAAACCCATCGACAGCCAAAACCTGCAACAAGGAATTGCCACCATTTCTCTGAAACATGTGGCGTCTCCACCGGCGTCTTCACCATCCGAACCACCAGGAAAGAAGCCTGAAGAGTTCTGTATCCAAACACTCCTAAGCCAGAACAACCTCTGGCTGCTTGAAAGTTCCTGAATTACCATGCAAACTCCAGCCTGTGCATCGAGGGGTCTTTCAAGGTGATCAAAAATTGGTCATCATGATTGATTCTCATCATCCAATGTCAGCTCCAAATCGAAAAAGCTTTTTTAAGCCAAGAACAGCGAAACCCATGAGAAAATCATATATAGATTATTATAGATACATATTACAGTATAAAGTAAGAATCTGCCCTTTCCATCGAACCAAGTAGACATCGCAGCTTCCGCAGTCTTTTGGAAACGAATGCGGACAGCGACATCGCCCCCCCTCGGGGGTGAGACGGCGGCTCGACCTGGCGGCAGGCATACGCGGCATACTATTCCAACATGTCATGTCATCAGCCACTTATGAGACTTACACTGCAAAAAAGTCAGCAGTCATTACTGGAATGGTCATAGAATGTCATATATAGATAAATGGACATTAGTTTGTTCGCTTGCTCCCACTAGAAGTTGGCATCAAAAAATGTGGCTTTGAAGCAGTGCTCTCAAACACTCGGAAGGAAGAATGTCAATTCTTAACATGCGAACGTTGATGTCGCCTACAAGGGTGGCTTCGACCAACCCAGCTTCATCACGATGCACGTGAGGTTCGTTTTGGCACCCAGCCTTGGCAAGGTTTCGTGGGGAAACCACGAGGTTTGGGATGGTTTTGAGAACAGCGCATGGCTTCCGACAAGGAGAAGAAGAAGAAGAAGGAGCCACGGGGCAACATGGAGGTCACAGTACCGGGCATCCAGAGACTGTGCGATCTTTTCTGTCTCACGCCTCTGTGGAAAACAGCCGTTTGGCAAACACTCGACGCCAAAAGGATCCACCAAGCAAACTGCTCGATTGGTTGTCGACATTTCTGCCAGGGTCCCTTCATGCCCCACTCAAAAAAAGCAACCAATCCCAAAAACAGGGGCCTACCCACCTGCAGGGTCCCGACTCCCTCTCTCATCTGCCCTTCAAGCTCAGCATCTGCAGCGCGCGTTGGGTCACCGTTTGGGCAGCTTCCTGCGGCCCGGCGCCCTGCTGCGCCATGACATCCTCAGCATGGTTACGAGGCGCTGCCTCTGGTGCTGCCTCTGGCCGTGGTGGGTTGGTCAAACCCAGGCCCAGAGCTTGGATGGACAGCTTCCTGTTTTTCTAATACAAGCGCCACATGATCCACCCTGATCCACCCAAATCCACTGGTTGCGGGCCAGCATCCCAGCAGGCATTGGCCACATCCTGATCACTCAAGACCTGAGGGAAACGTGTGGGCACTGATTTTCTTTCCCCAATACCTTTCTTTCCTGAAGTCCGCCAAGAAGGGGAGGGGTGCATCTCACAACATCCACCAAAGACTCCAAGACGGGTCGACAAGTCGACAGGTCAAGTGGATGAACTTCTACTGAAATCATCTCACCTCTCAGCGATTGAAATCGTCAAGCCGGCGGGCCGGTGGATTGTTCACAACAGTACTGCACCCCAAAAAAACATACAACTCTAAGATTTTACAACTTCTCAATAGATTGCTAACCTCGCTTCTTAGGGAAATAAAAGATAAGAAAAATGTAATGTCTGATATAATTTAAAGATACGTGGGTTAACCTATGGAGAGAATAAATAATAAAGAAGATATCATTTAATAAAAACCTTCATGAAAATAGACTATACGAAAGTATCAGGATATTGGATTATAAATGAGAATTACTTCATGAACAATAAAGAATAATAATAAGGGTGGGCACCCATAAGATAGAAATAAGAAAGAATAATATATTTTAAACATTGAAAGATTCAATGACTGGAAATTCAATTCATATATTTTCCAGGGTTTATTGCTCCCAAAATAATTCGCAATCATGATATTAATGCTGTATTTTAAAGGTTCCAAAAAAGGGGAGAGATAGGAGGTTGAAATCTTAAAAACCTAATATTAAAATAAAGGAGCTACAGCATATAGGGTTTTATAAAAAGAATTAAATTGATATTAAGATTACAAGATTATAGATTAAAATATGTGGCCATACAAAGATAAATAAATAAAGAGCACATATAACTTAAAATGCTAGATCAATGAAGAATTTCGTAAACACCATCAGGTCTCGAACAGTCAAAGGACATTCTTTGCTCTTCACCAACGATTCTTCCGCTTTTCCCCACACCGAGCTCGCCGTCCCTCGCCAACCCGAAGACGCTCCCGTTGTCTCCGGCCCGGTCGACGCTCCCTCCGAGCCGCTGCGAAGACGCCGCGCGTGGCCACCACGACGGCCCAGTCCTCGGGCAGCAAGTCGATGACCTGCGGCCGGCCCGGCGTGTCCGCGGCCGTTGCGGCCGAAAACCCAGAGGGTTGGGGAAGAAAAAGGATGTCAGGATAAAACTGTAATGTAATGCAAAAACGTGTGTGAAGAATTGGTGAACCTCTCCATGAAGTGGTTTCGTTTCGGGTGTGGTGGGGAGGGTAACCGGGTAACCATCTTGATTCTATGGCATACTACGGTCCATCATGTTGAAGACCATGGATGAGGACGATGAGGACGGCTGGATTCACCAAACCCCATGAAGTGAATCATGTGGCAAAGCACCGTCCACCACCACCCTAAATGAATTCCTGATGACTGACAGGTAGGTATTTATTTTAATTTTGGATGGCATGTTGCCCCGGCTGCCCCGGCTCCATTATTTTCAGAAGGCCATGTTCCAGGTTCATGTTGGATTTGAGATCATTTCCGCATATGCTCCAGTCCCTACATAGACCCGAGGCCTCCAAATGAAAAAAAGACAACACACGCACGACTCGTCAACGAAATCGGGGCCTGAACCTCTGGGCTGGCTGAGAAGACCTCACCCAGGGCTGCAATGGGTGGGAGGTGTTGGTGGTCAAGGGCCATGGTCCAAATACATAAAACCTCATCAAACAGAAAACAGTGCTCCTCTTATTTTACGGATTTATGTTCTGAACCGAGGACTGTCTTCATGTTGGAATCTCCTTCTGACAAGCGGAACTTTGGCTGGCTAAAGGAAGAAAAACCGATAAGAAACAAACCCCGCATCAAGCACCAGGCCAGCGGGTGTTGGACGAGAAGCGCTTACGACGTAAGTATTTGCAAGCAAGTCGCTGGATACGGTGGGCCTTTCAGCAGAAGATCCTCAGTGAAAATCGATTACAAGATCTGTTGACTCTCAGTAAGCTGGTGGAACATGGGATGCCATGCGTCCATGCTGAAACCTACTGAGGAACCTCATCGCATGGATTCGCATGGCCAGTGAATCCAATCACTGATAAAGTAGCGCCCTGCGCAATTTGCAGTTCCCCACCTGGGGCTCAAGATGCTCAAAGCAACCCCAAGCAAGATGCTCAAATGTCCCACACAACCAAACCGCACACTCCGAGGTGCCCCAAAGCCCCTTGAAGCAGCCAGGAAGTTCTTTGGCCCAGCCTCGAGGCAGCTTTTGGCTTCACATCACCGGACGATGCGTTTCAGCCGGTCCCAACCCGCAAATTGAGTATGTGCGGCTATTGCATCGTCCAATTGGTGCCCCCGCCCCCTATGGTTTCCACTGTCGCGGAGTATCGTTTTGATGTGAGCCCCAGGGATTGAAGCATTCTAGAACATGGAATTTTAACGGTGAGTCTTTTGCAAATGTAATCAACCGTTGCAGATGTTGAAGGCACTTCAGACACACAATATGGCCCAGCAATTGTAAAAGGGTCGATTGCGACAGCAGCATTGTTGTAGAGATCTTGTCCACCACTTTTGCTGCTGATGGGTGAGCGTCCTCCACCACCCATAGTTTGAGAGCATCCCGGTACTCGCACAGGTTCGTGAAACGTGTTCAGTAGTAATATGCATCTCACAAACGCCCCCCATCAGTCTCACAAAGGTCAGACAGAATCAGAGGGACACCTAGCTCTGCCGAGAAGTCCCCCTAACTTAACATACCCTAGGCCCTAGGCCCTTACCAAGAGCCTCTGGAAGTCCGAAAGGGAGACACCTCCCTGCCGGTTCGGCTGCTCGAGAAGCCGAGGATCCACATCCTCATAGCATTGCTGCCGTGCCCAGGTGAGCTCGGGATTGCCGGGGCGACCCAGCCACCAAACGCCCCGCAGGTCCTGGAGCAGCACATTCGCTGCAGCACACCCCTCTGCTGACCTACAATTCCTCCGTCCATCGATGGAAGGAAACCGCAGAAACTTTCATGATTTTTTCTTGAACATCAGGGTCCACCACAAAAGGACAACACCAAACAGGTCGCGTCACGTGCCGCCCATGATCGCCTCTTCCGCCGATGCTCGCTCCCCGGCCTGCACCAGTTGACCTCCAGCGGTTGACAAGCGATGTCGCTCCTCTGCTCGGTCGCACACGTGGTCCTGGCACCGGCGTCCCGCCGTCAGCACGGTGCAGGGGCACCGGTGCTTCGAACGGCCCCACTTCCACAGTGAGATGGGGGAAGACTTCTGATTCTAATCAAGTGTTTGACCGTGCCTGACCCACAAAAATAAAAACAAGGAGTCACCTTCAAACAGACAGACGAATGTGTCATATTCCCTCAATGGGCCAAAACAAAATCAAGATCGATCAAGAACTTGATAATAATTGTTTGATATTCAATATTCAATGCTATTCGATGCTATTCCCTCCCCTTCGAGTTGTCCAAATCTCTTCTGTCCCTTCGTCCACTCTCGTATCTCCAGCACGCACTGTCTCTCCTCGGTACACCGCAGGACTTGCCGCCCCCGCAAGAGGAGCATGTGCCCAGTGCCCGACCAGGCTGCGAAGAGTTTGGCCTGACCTGCCGGAAGCTGTGGTTCAGGTTGGTCAGCGAGGGGGGCGAGAGATGTGATGGCATATATATATATGTATATACACAATATACTACCACCGGCAGGAGGGAGATAATAACTTTAAGGGCGTTTTTTGAAATGGGACCTACAGATGAGAAAGGACCATATGGATAGGAAAAAATTCATGGAAATCAGCTTTAGCAAATGAGACAGGATGTTACCGACCATTCTCTCGTAGGTGTGTCCAGGCGGCCTAAAACGCACATGAGTGAGGAGCTTGGCTGCCAAAGAAAAAGACAAAAGAGCGCACATGAGTTGCGTGGTCCAGGTCTGTTTGCTTGGGCTTTGCTGAGATAGGACTTTATGGTCCCACAATTCAGATTGCACACAATTTCAAAACGCAAATGTTGCAACACGAGTTTCACCAGTGCCACTGGTGATGTCTTGCCACAAGTGCTGAAGTGCCCAACACCAATGTGTTATTTGGACGTTAGCCGTTAGCCTTGTTCAAAGGAGGCTCCTTCTTGACCAAACAAAGAACACGTGAAAGACTCCGTGGCACTCCAGGAAGTGCCTCCAGGTGCTGTGGGCACCGTGCGGCCATGGGGCTCCTGGAAGCCGTGCCTCGGACGCCGACGCCACGTGTCGATGGCGCGCGTTCTGGGGCGCGCCGGATGTCCCCTAAACGCCGCAACCAGGGCACATCACGACCGCAATCAGCGCAGATGCACCGTCTTTGAAGCCGTATTGCTGCGCCAGGTTCAAGAAATTCTGATCCGTCATTTCCAGACCTCCCAAAGGCAGCACACCGGGCCCAACCGTGACTACGATCCTAGTGTCAAATGAATTTACAGTAAAGGACTTGACTTGGGCGTAACAAATGAACATCTGAAGCCACCAGTCCTTGTTGGAGGCAAACGAACCAGATCGGATAAGATCGGTTTCTCTGTCGGTTGCCATTATGGCGCTGGTTCCGCCACTCATCGCTTAAGCCACATGGGGCCGGGCCTCTCAACCCACCAGCCCACATGACATGCCCTGCCTCTGATGATCCCCAACTTGATCACCTCCGCCTCTTCAGCTGCGCTTAACATGTCCAGTGATGCCCCCTTCAAACGCTGCGAAAAGGCTTCGCGGACACCTGGCCACCCCGGAATCCATGCGGTCAAGCAAGGGCAATCTTGTCAGGCTTAACTGGCTTAACTTAAAGAAAAAGAGCCCGTGAGAGGCTGCTAATATCTGCTAATGATCCCCACGTATGAAGTGTCCAAATAAGAGGAGTTTGTGCCACCTGGCATCACACTATATTGCCGTGGTGCCTGCCAGTTCGGTTCTTTGTTGGGCAAGTTGGGACGTGGAAGGGCGGGTATGCCCATGCGGCCTCTTGTGTTGGTGCTGCATTGAACTCTTGGGGTCTTTGGACATTTGCCAATCTTGACACGTTGGATTTAGATTGAAGCTGATGGACTTGTCCATGTCCACCCTGCTATCACGTGCCAAGGAAACAATCGAAAGCCCGTGCCTTGCACGATCATCTTCGGCACTTCTTGTGACAGGTAATCTGCACAGAAGGTGCCACGGTGACCGTCGAAGATGCCGACCATATGGCCCAGACTGTCCTCAAGTGCGCTGGATCTGATTGTTGCTGACGCAGTCGTAGTCGTTTCTGGGACAAATGTAGCAACAACAACAAATGGGAGTCGGCACTGTGGGGGGACACAGCTACCAGAATAAGTCAGAGTTGGTTTACAGCGTACATCTGTGTGTTCTCAGTGAGCAAATGAGCTTTGTTTTTCCTTGCGGCATCACCACCCCCCAAAGAAAAAGACATGGAAATCCCCACAGAAACATGTCACTTCGCAATCCTTCGTTCCTTTCGCCCTCGCCACAAGGAACCCCTTCGCGCCTGCAAGTCTGTGGCGATGGTCCGGTCCTCGTTGGCGAGGCGCGGCCCCATCTGGCTATCCCCGCCACAGCTGAGCCCACTTTGATGCGGCAGGGGCCGCACGTTGGCCGGGGAGCCGGCGGAACCGGGCCGGGCCAGGTCTAGGAGGTAGCCTGAGAAGGGCCACGGCGGTTGGTGGGCGCAAAAAGCCCAAAAAATATGCAAAGTGAGTACGTGGACATTGAAGAATTCCTAGATACCTGGTCCTTTCCGATGATCAAGTCTAGAATTCCTACTTTGGAGGGTGCGCTGTGTGGGTCGCTGCTTGAGATGGACGGGGTTACTTCATGCCTTGAGCCAAAACCGCCTCTCTCGCCGCGAGCCCTGCAACGAGGAGCTGACCCGGGTTCCATGCATCAACCCCGCCGGGACCGGTGGTGCCAGATGTCCGGTATTCACTGCTAGGCCACTGATGCCTTGGCTGCAGTCAATGACGTCCGGCAGAAAGAATGAGACATCCGGCAGAAAGGAAGCGACTGAGAAAAAGGACCTGACCTTATCTCAATGTTTGAGCTGTTGCCCGTCTTTTCTACCACAACGGGACTTGACCCAGGCATAAGAATCAAGAACCTGTTCTTCTTCCTAATAATGTTCAGCACGCACAGCACCAAAGACCCGACACGCCACAGCACCGACACCCCACAGCACTCCCCGAGACCCCGACTGCTCAAGCTTAGGGTCTCAGCTGTCGCTGATCTCGGTCTGCCAACAAAAGGCCACATTTTCGGCGCCCATTGTACCAGAGAATGGTGCCAGTCTGTGGGCCTGTATCCTGACCATTGGATGGCGCATTAGCGGCAGCTTCGGGTGGCTTTGGGTTCTTCAGCAGTGAGCCAAAGTCTGGCTTTGCCACTGCACCGCTCAAGAGGTTGGCCAAGGTGGGAGGGGTTGGTGCTGGCTTGGGCGGTGGAGGAGGAGGCACCACCTTTGGTGGCATTAGAAAGGCTTGCTGCAAACTTGGAGCCTCCACCGGTGCTGCCGGTGGCGCAAACACCACAGGAGCCATGGGCGCAGGCTGCCCCGGCTGCCCCGCCGGCTGCCCCGGCTGCCCCGGCTGCCCCGCCGGCTGCCCCGCCGGCTGCCCTGGCTGCGCTGGCTGCTGCGGGTCCCGCACACGTGGTGGCGAAGGGGAGGAGCTGGAGGATTTTCGAGCCTCTTTGGTCTCCTTTCGAAGTTCCTCCTGCTTCTGCCGGTCCGATTCCTTGGCTGGAGGGAATTTTTCCTGATGTGGTTCGCCTGTGGACGATTGATCAGCTTGAGAAACCTAAAGGCCAGAGAATAGTAGAATTGAAGAAATCACGGATCAAAGCTTCAGGATCAAAGCTTCAGACATTGCGCCGTTCCTGATCACTGAGGAGCCTCCTATGTTCTACATATGCCCTTTGTCTATAGAGAGCCGGCCCTACCACCTATGAATTCATTTCCCCAACCACATCACCTGGTGCACGCCACGCATAGAATGGCCACCGACTCCGAGGTGCGATCTTCATCTGCCGCGCACGCTCCACCGCCGCCGCGAACTCCGCCTTCTTTCGCTGTTCGGCCAACTCCGCTTCGCGCTTTCCTCGGATGGACTAGGTGGGAAAAGGGCTCCGACAGCGCGAAAGCGCGCCACGATGCGCAGCCAGGCAAGGTGCTGGAGAAAAGGGGCATCTTGAAAACAAGTGAGCACCTCTTTCTCTACCAATTCATCTCTATTTCACCGCTCCAAGAGGCGACGTTCCTCCTCTTCAATCTTCCTGCGCTTGGCTTCCACCTCTTCACGCTCCCTTCTCTCCTCAAAGGACGCTCGAGTCAAAGGTATGATGTAGACGTGACCATGCGCGGGGATCTATGATGAATTATATGAATTGGTCCCGGATCAATGTGGTGATAGGGGCCCACTCCTCATCTTCTTTCCATTTCTCCAGGTCTTCTTGCGTGACCTCTTCCTCCTCGTCTGAGGCTTCTTTCTTCCATTTGGCCCCACTGTGCCTAGTACCATCACTGCGTCGGCCCACTGAAACTGGAATCGTTGGAGTCGCTTGATCCAAGGCTTTGTTAAGCTCCTCCATCTCCTTGTGCCGTTTTTCCTCGGCCTCCTTTTGAAGCCTCTCTGACTCTCTCTTCTCCTCTTCCTGCTTCTGTTTCTTCTCTCTTCTTCTTTCAGCTAACTTCTGCCGTTCCTCTTCTTCCTGCTCCTCCTCTTCTTTGCGACGTTTCTCTTCCTCCAACCTTTCCTGGGCTCTTCTCTGCCGCGCTCTCATTAACACTTCTTGCCTGAAGCCAGCCCGTAGGGTCCGCAGACTCAAGCACACAAAAAAAACAAAACAACACGAACGATCGAAGCATCCACCCGAAGCAACCCACCATGACAATCCAGGTCTTTCTCATCCACCAAAAAAATCTAGGGGAAAAGAATCTGAGTGAGGAAAACGTGGAATTTATACACTCCAAGTCACTAACATGGAAGTAGAAAACCACCTGTTTGTAGTCTGAAATGGTCATCAGAGGGGCCATGCACTTCCATGATTATTCCAAGTGGGGTTCTTAATTTACAACAAAACCGGATTCCAGGCCTTTCCCTCTCTTCCTCCTCTTCTCTAGCCTTCTCTTCTGCCTTCCGTGCCTCCTCTCGCTTCCGCTTCTCCTCCGCCGTCTCCACGTCCTCCACCTCCTCCACCGGCTCCGCCTTCGGCTTCTCCACCGGTGCAGCTCCACTGGCTCCAGTGGACCGCGCGCGGTGGGGGTCCACCGGACGCTCCATCTGGGTGCGCTTCGTGGCCGGGTGCGCATAGTAGAAGGTGCCCGGCTTAGAGCGCGACTCCACGCGGATCCAACCTGGATCGACAGGTGAGAGAGAGCAACAGATGCGGTGAGGGATGGCAGTGCGTCTCTGGATTGGATGCAGTGATAGCAGGTGCTGTTCTTTTTGAAGCAGGTGGCGGTTACCTACACCACCCTATGTCAGCAGTCCACATGTGCAAATAAGCAATGCCAAACCAAACCCCCCTGAAAAAGCTCACATTGCAATTGCAATATATTGAGATATTGTGGCCTCAATCCAACCCCCTAACCCACCTCACCCACCCACCCCACCCATCCGGATTCTTCGGATTCCACTCGACCCGTGTCGCTCCCCACCTTGTGGCAGCGCATCCCTCGACGGCTCGGGCGCCGCTTCGATGCCGCGGCCCTTCAGCACCGGCAGGCTCCGTCGGCCGCTGCGACCTAACATGGCCTGGTCACCTCGGACGCGGCCGGCGCGAGCTGCGCGAGCTGCACGGCGCGGGTTGGTTTGGGAACAGGGACGGACGGAGCTTGCAGATCTCTGCAGATCTCTGGTCTCTTCAGATCTGCATATATCTGCATCCTAACACCGATGCGGCTCAGACCAAAAGAGAATCTCATAAGATCGAAGCCAAGCTAGAAGCAGCAGCCCGAAAAAATGGTCCAGGAATTTGGTGGAGATGTCATTCTCAATCTTCTCTTAAATGCTTCTTGAGATACTGGCTTGCACCACGTTAGAAGAAAACACCCGGTGGCAAATGGTTGTAGAGGATCCGATTGCTATGGGGACCATGTGCAGGGATGTGTAACACCAATACCGGAGGAAGCATGAAGAAGCTAGAACCCTCCCGGATCGTCTTCCAGTTGATCGAGATGATTCAATCAACGTGGTAGTGGCAGGTGACTATGATGGTGGGACATGTTGAGTGTGACAAGTGGCCCGCAGCAAATTTTCAACAACATGTCTCGATCATGATGCTTCGCTCTACTTGTCCTACCATCATGCACGGCGCTTCATCCACCAAGCAGTGCGGGTGCTAGTGAGCACCCTACAGGCCGAGCTGCATGATCACGAGGGCACAAGGCAAACATCACGGAGTGCCAATGGCGGAAAAAAGTTGTAGCAAGCAATATCTTGAGATTGCTTAAGATCGCCATCCGAGGCTTTGGCTTGACTTGATAGTTGAGGAGAGTTGTGGGAGCGTGTGCAGGTTGGGGATGCTTTCTTGGAAAATGTTGAAAGGGAAGTAGCTGGAGGGTGCCATCATTGGACATGTTTGCAAGTGTTGTTGCGGTTCTCCATTTGGATCATTCCACTGCAGCGCACGGTGTTTCGCATCGTGACAAGGGCCTGAGGGATCTGAGGGGCCCTCTTGCGCCCATGGATGGCAACCGAAGCACTGCTGAGCATAAACAGCTGTAAGTGCTTCCGCGATGGTCGAATCTCATCCCAGTTGGGAGGCTTTGTCAGGCCTTGTTGCACTCAAATCGAGAGATTCCACTGCGAACCACCCGTCCATCTCGAAGCACCTAGTCCAAAAGTCCAGTGGACTCCGAATCACTCGAAGCTGGCGTGGTGAAACCTCCTCGAAGGCCGGCCAAATCTCCTCCAAGCTCTTGGCATCCCGTCCTGCACAGCGGATGTGTCCCGCGGACGTGTTGGAACTCCAAAACTACCAGTCCTTCCTAAGTGTGAGAGAAGGTGAAGGTGACACCATGAGAGAACTAGTTGCCATGTGACTTTGCCAGAGGTGCGTGGCACGGGACTACCTGGACTGTCCTGGAACACCTATGAACACCGCCACCCGCCTTTCATCAGGGTGAAACCATCGGAACACCTCCGGCCCGTCGCTGGGCTGGCGCCTTGATGCCGCCGCGCCCACCAGCGGCAGAAATCCTCCAACCTCGGGAGGATTGTGTCGTTCCAGCAGAAAAACGGGAGGGTGGGGTGAAGCAATTCCAATTTAGAAAATACGCCATTCTAAGCCCCTTCACATGAGTCCAGCCCGTCCAGCCCTTCACATCAGCAAGAGTCACTTGGAACCTTTTTCCACAGGGGCATCTCATTGGCGGCGCAGTGCCTCACTCGAAAGGCCAGAAGTGTGTCTGTCACTGTCAGGTACGACGGAAAGGGTTTGGACGGTTTGGCCCATCATGTGTGTTTTCCCTCCTGCTTACCACAGGAAACACTCAGCCGCCCTAGCATCTTCAGCCGCCAAGTAGGTGAGACAGAAATGCAAACCAAACGCCTGCAACAGGAATTGCATACGTTTTATGCACATCAACCTTGCTGGAACGCCCCTCAACACACGAAACACGGCAGGTGCCAAGCCAGGAATCCAGAGTGGACTCACAGCCAGGAATCCATGACAACAAGCCTCCTAAAGGTCACTTGGCATGAAAGCAGTTCCTGAGAAGCCCCGCCTACTGCGTATCCAAATCGAAAGGTCGAAAGGCAAGCTCCTTTGCCGATATTTGTTGAAGCCTCTTGGGGCCGATGATTGTCGCCCTAGGCTCGCCTCTACCAGTTTTACACATGCTTCAGGCCTCGCCACCACCCCCTCCAAGGCACATCGTAGTCCACCACTGGAGCGCAGTAGCCCCAACTGGGAGAGCCAAAGTCCTGCTGCAGCTGAGGGTCCAAGTAGCACCACTCGCGACCCGAGCCCTGGAGAGCTGACAGGAGCACAAAAAGAGGATTCCAACCGGGGGTAGGCCCAGTACTGATGGTTGCCCCAAGTGGCAGGTGGTCAAATTGAATGTTTGCTGACTGACTGCATGGCTGCATGTATGATGTGTATCTCTCTCTCTCTCTCTCTGATGTAGTGGCAAACTGTGATTAACTGTGATTCGCCGCCCCCTGGCAGAGCTTCCTGAGGCCAGGACTCCTTCAGGCGTGGGAGCATCCGTGCCTCAGCATTGATCTTTGTGGTCCCCTAAGGTCCCCTGAGGTCCCCTTCTCCGAAATGAGGTCCCTGAGGTCTCCTTTCCACAACCCACAGCTTTGTCCAAGCACGCCTGGTTCGTTCCTCACACTTTCTGGTCAGCTTTGTCCCGGCTGTGTGCTGGATCTCCGCCATTCATGTTTGAGATATCAAATATCTCCATGATGGGTATAGGGTTAAGTGTGGAGGACAGCCCTGGCCTAAACCATCACTGAGCACCACTCCGGGAGGTTTACCAACCTCATTCCTCATGCTTGCCCATTCCTTCTTGCCCTTGAGAACCCACACCCGAAGAAAAAAAACAAGCTCTAAAGCCCACGCTCCAGTACGCGCCGCAGGTCCAGGAACGCTCCACGCTGCAGGGAAGACACAGTTGGTATAAACATTACCATCCTGCACAAAGGCTGCCGCACACAGGAAGCCGTCCAAGGTGCGCCGGTGCTGCTGCCGGAACTGTGTCAAGGGCTTCCTCAAGCAGCGCCGGAGGTCGCGATAGCACAAACAAGCAGCAACATACAAAGAGTTTCATGGACTAAAGAAAACGGTCACCAAACAAATTCACTGCTTTGATGTAAGCCTGTTGGGTGCAGCTCGATCGTTGGCTGCCTTTATCATGGCGTGCTGCTTCCATCTCTCTGAGCTCGGCGGAGCTGATTTTCCAGGCGGGTCGAACGCACTCATCCAGAAGTAGATTTGAATGATAAACAGGTTCTTCAATCTAAGTTATAAGGGCCGGGCTCTATATATATTATATATATATAAGTTGTCTGCTCCGCGTTCGCTGTTGAGTCCTGTCGTCCAATTACGATGGGACAGGGTTTTCCTCTCGGGGTGCCACATTATGAATATCTACGAGAGGGCCATGTGGAATCTGGTCCCATTTCAGTCTGAGGCTCAGCTCGTCAGGCGAGAGGGCATCCGTAAAAGAGGCGACCTGAGAAACGAAGGTGCTCAATGTGTGGCGTCGTGCGATGCTTTGGCTCACACACACAAAAGCTGACAGGGCTGCGATGTATAATGGCCTGCCCAACGGTGGCTGATATACAGAACAAAGCCCACTGCCCCGGTTCCGGTACCATCCATTCATTAGTATGGCCTACAAGTATAGACTGTAGTATAGACCACTCCCATGTTCCATGTGTGACACTACCTGAAGTCCAAAACTCCCTGATGCCCATGTGCCCATGCGCCCCGACGATGCTGCCCGGGGCGCCAGTCTTTGTCCCGGTCGGCCATCCACGACCCAGCTCTCATCGGTCACAGCGTTCCTGAGGCATCGATGCAACTGAACACCATCCGTCCACCGGTGGGCATCCAACTGAAACATCCGTCATCCGTCTTGAGCGGCAAAGGTCAAAGGCCTCGACACCCAACCAAAATGCTCAGTCGTGAGTCACAGAAGCTACAGCAAATTCCTGCACCAAAACCCCCTTCAAAATCCCTTGCGCCTGCTTGAGCAACCCCCCATTCCTCCCAGCTAAGACCACCCTCCCAGGTGGTCCCCCGGTCTTCCCGCTACCCCCCGCGCCGTGGCTCGAGCTGACCGGCGCCGGCGTCCGAAGCCGCACGGTGGGGTCGAACTCGGCCACGCTGCCTCGGTGGGGAGGCACTCAGCGGTCACCGTGAAGCAACGAACTACTCCACTCTAAGTGCCTAACTAGCTAGCACTTGTTTCTAGTAGCGTCCTTGTTACTAGCTAGTTGCTGGTGTAACTGAAATTGCCACACTATTACCAAAGCAACCGTGAACCGGAGGCGACCGATCACCGGTGGGAAGCTGAATGGGGATCGAAGGAGTGGAGTAGATGAAAGCATCATCGGGTTCTGCATGTTTCTGCAATTTGCATCCAACCCCCTGCCACAAAACCCCCATCGGTCCAAAGGAAAGCGGCTTAAGAACCACTTGTCCCTGGCCATCTTTGGAGTCCTCAGCTGATGGAAGAGGGAAGGGGGATCCTCTTCCGGGAAGACGTTTGGGCCCAAGAATCCACATCAAAAGGCAAAGCAATCAAATCAAGTCGCGGAGAAGCGAAATCGGTTCATGAGCAAGACACACGTACAAACAAAGAACTAAATCAAGAAACACGCATCCAAAAAAAAGAAATGAAACATAGAAAGAAAATAGACTCTTTCCACTCCAGGACTCTGACAGTTCTCTAGGCCAGTCGAGTGCTTCAAGGAGAAGAGCTTAAACTCTCGGATGCCAATCCCATCCGACCCATGCACCTGCAGCCGGACGCTGTTCGCCTCCACTCCCTTTAAGTGGATCCGCGAACGATGCGCACGCAGCAGATTCTCGTGCACCGAATAGGCGTCTCGCCAATGGAGGCCGTCCATGGAAGTTTGCAGCTTGAAGGAATCCGGCACGGACTCCCAGTTGATCTCTAAAACCTCACATCTGACGTTTCGCGGATCACAAGGGCCACCAACCTACCCATCATCCTGGGTTTAGACGCTTGGGTTCGCCGGCAGGAATCATCGAGCAAGTACTTCTTCAAGAAAGAACTCATGTCGAAAATGATTTCAGGTTATAAAAGTCCTTCAAGACATGTGAACGAAGCCCGCCTTCAACTTCGCAGCAGGGAAGGCCACCTCAAACATCGCCGTCTCCGCCTCTGGGTCCGCAGCCCAGTAACTGGAGTCGTTCCCATCCACCGCTTGGGCCGCGGTGTGGTACGCATCAATGCCTCAGACTCACCGACACGCGGGCAACTCACGGCCAAGCCGCGAGTCAAGCAGGTTTTTGTGCCGTTGGGAGCGGGTTTCTTATGATCATGAGGCTAAGGTAGAGGCACCATGTGAAGAGAAGAAAGGGCATCAAGAGGTCAAAGGAAACAGAAAAAACATCATGCAAAACACACACTATAATGTTCCTCAAATCCATGTCCAAAAGTCTGGAGCTGGCATGCGCACTTTGGTTCTGGGCCACATCCACGGAAGGCTCTGCAGAGACCGTCAAGCAAAGCCCACCTGCGAGGCTTTGGGCTAAGAGATTTCGAGTCTTGACTCATGAGGTGTGCCAGACATGGGCAGCAAAGAACCCAATCATCAGCTGCAAGTTCATGCTGCAATCGTCATTGATCAAGAAAAAGACCCCCGGACAAGTTCAGGAGAACGCCACCTTGCGATGGCATGCGTGCTTCATGCGCCCACATCGCCCACTTTGCCCTTCATGCCAAACCAGCACACGTCCCGACACATGCAGACCGGAACTCATGACGTCTCGACCTTCCGCAATCGCGTGGGTGGCGGTTAAAGACCAAACGCACGCGCCCCACCTGGAGATAGCTGCAATTGGTCCGTGCCCAAGAGCTCCCAAACCTCGCCAAACCATCGCCGGTCCAGCAAATGCTTGAAGCAACCGGGCTTCAAGGCCCGAAGATTGAACTGAGCAAACAATCCTTTGTTACTAGTAGCGTCCTTGCTACTAGGCAAACAAACGCAAATGCACGGCTCACATTACCCTCCCCACCTGCCCCGGCTGCTCATCACAGCTGCCCAAGCGCAAGTTGCGGCCCTGGCGTAGCAGGCAGCGCCCATCCAAGGCAACCAGCGCCCCCTTCGAGAGATGCCAGATCTCGCGGCCATCGCCGGCGCGCACCGCATCCTCCGATCCGGCATGCTCTGCGAAACGTATGTCATTAAGATGTTTATACAGCCAGGTGGTACGGCCATGGGGACTCTTCTCTCCCACTTCACCGATCCGGAATCCCAACGACAGCGAGGAAGTCGAAGGTGGACCAAGCCTTTCAAGAACCGGTCAAGCCTGAGGTAGCTGCAGTAGCCCCTTGAAAATCTAGCCCCAAAATGCCAGGAGCACCTGATCTCCAAAGACGATATACGTCAATGTTCTCCTCTGGGTGCAAAACTAAGAGCCTTTTTCAGCTTTGAGACAGGCTCATTGACTCTTGCAAGTCCATCACTGCCTAGGTCTACATAGCTTTCTGCTGCGACATAGCT